CGAGACGGCGTCCTAGAAAGTTCTCGCCGAGCGCGTAACCCTAAAAGTGTACAAAAATAAACGTGGAACACGTCAATAGTTACGTCACTGACGCCCGGTTTCTGAAACACTGATCATGGTAGAAATTAACTAATCAGATGTCAAATGGCTTTTCAAATGTTAAAAAAACTCTTTGAATGGATCGTTCTGAAAGAAGATCATTCTGATCAATTCAGAGAGTTTAACCATCCTTTTGGCAACTCAAATGACATTTGACATCTGATTAGTTAATTTGTACGATGATCAGTGTTTCAGAAACCGGGCGTAAGTGTCACTCCCGATTAGTATTTACAAGAGGGTGAAGTTCGCTAGTGTAAAATGTCTTGGTGTTATCGATACCGCTAATTTATAATATCAGTTATAACGAACAGTAAAATCTAATAGTGTAAAAAATTGATATCGACCGCGAAACGACCAAAAAAAAAACGTACAAACGAATTATTGTTTCGTTTTAGGCACGGACGCTACCTACTAGATAGGCGAGGGGTTGTGTCCTACGGGTCATATCTATCTTGAACCTTAGCTGTTTAGAGCCAATGCAGGTACAAGCCTGGCGCGACAGGTGGTAAGCTTGTCGCCGAGAACCACGTAACAATCGCTGATTCATTCGAATCCGCTAAGAGTAAAATGTGAATAAATTATACATGTCCCACAGCTGGGCAAATATCTCCTCTATACAGTGGGCCTCTATATTAGGGCTCAGTCCATGCGGCGACCCCACTGCGGATTGGCGGACTTCGCATATCCTCGAAATACTATTTATTCTGTGTTACTATTTCGAAAATACGCCGGTTTCCTCACGATGTTTTCCTTCGCCGCCGAGCACGTGAAAGTCGACGAGTAAACGTAACAATTCAATCGGTGCCGGCACCGGGATTCGAACTCCGGTCGCTCTAGTACAATGAACCGAAAGCGAGCCGGACACTGAGCTATCGCGGCTTTTTCTCCTACCCGCATTAGGCAAATAGACGCACTTTGAAATTCACTTATAACATACACGCCCCAAAAACTACCGCCTTGTATATTATGGACGTTAGCTACCAAATATGACTAAAAAACGTTGAACAGGAAACGTAGAGACCGTTCTAAGGGTTTCAATATTCTATCTACAGATAGATTTGGCTACTAGAGATTGAATTTTGACTTAGTATTACGCAGCTAATACTAAATCAAAATTCCTAAATTCCTATTCAAATACCTATCGCTAGTAACAAAATCTGTCTGTAGATTACATTGAAACCGGCCGTATGGCCACGTTATTATCGTCTACCGACTGTGGCGACTCTCTATCCACTTCGTGTTGTCGAAGTAGCTAAGTTCAGTTGTTACATCCTCCCACACAGCAGTCGCTTTGACATAATTAATCTCTAATGTCGTTAAATTGTCTTAGACTTTGAGAAATTTTTCGAAGAGTGACACCTGACAGGTACCAATATCATGGTGTTACCATGACAACCGATAACAGCTTCTTGATCTTCACCTATAATTCCAAGTTATTCAATTAAACCATAGTACTTAATTTAGATAGATTTAATGCTGTACATAGTGCTGGATTAACGAAGTGGCAAGATTAGCAATTGCTACGGGCCAGCGCGAAAAAGGATAACATATATAGATATATATTGAAAAAAATAATAATTTGTGTATTATCATCAGCTTTCAATTATAAGTTATTTAACAAAATTATTCTAAATTACCAGGCCACCTCATCTCTGGCCTGTACTTGTCGGAGCCTAGGAGGGCCTATAGTAATCTACTACAGTGTTAAATATCCACAAAATAGTAACCTATGCATGGCAAATAATCGTATTGATTATTGAATTTTTACCACTTCACACCTAAGAACCAATAGCAGATCTAGGGCGCTTTGAAAGAATTTGCTACGGGCCCTGCAATTGCTTAATCCGGCACTGGCTGTATATATTGGATAAATTAGATAACACGATTTCTGACTATGTCACAAATAAAGAGTACTGCTGACACATGAGATAAATTTTTAAAGTTAATTTTTCTTTTGTTACGTAAAGAAGTTATACTTCTTTACGTGCGTGCGTACATAACAGACACGGGTTTTTTTATTGTTTATTGTATTGTTGTATTATTTATTTAGGCGGTCCGTGAGTATCAAACTATGAAATCGACTAAAGTTATAGCAGTTTCCGAAACGCACGAAATTTACATATAATAAATAAATGCTCATTTAAAGTTATAGGAATAAAAATGTAGAAATATAATTTTGCTAATACACGACAATCGACTGCTGTGTGGAAGTCTTAAAAAATATCGCAAAAAACAAAAAAAAATTAAAGATCAATTAATGTACATATACAGGATGGCTTTTCTTAAAGTGCCCAAATTCACATAGTATAATCGTGTATTGAAATAAAAACAAACTATTTTTTTTTTCAAAAAATTGCTATTCTATTCCTTAAAAAACCGAACTTGTTAACAATGCGGTAGTCATTCATAAATGCGTCGTATACTTTTGAAACGAACTTGTGTGCGTGTTAGTTATGAATGATCGCGCGTAAAATAAATGAGTTGCCCATAAATCGCACACTTTTTGAGATAAGTTTAAATGAATGTATTTAATGAATTAAGAGTGATTTTAAATATTTATCATTTTTTATATAACATTATTTTTGTCTAGAATTTAATAAAATACTATACACTTAGAAAAGCCGCCCTGTATGTATAAAATGCATTTATAAATCTATATGAATGAAGTTTTTCTAAACGTTTGTTTCGATTCCAAACACGGGTCTAAGATCTTACGGCCATTAGTAGCAGAAATATAAAAAAGTTTACGTCATTATTTCTTTATGTTCAAAACCTATTCAAACTATTATAATACATTCTTTAAAATCGTCAGAGCATTAATATTTATAGTATAATTTAAACATTTTTCTTTGTTTCGTATAAATATCGCTATGACATTAAATATATAAAACATGATCGTGGAAACTTTTTTGTATATTCTATTGCATCTAACGCCTATTGATACAGTGTTAAAGTTACAAAGACGGAGGTTACATTTGATTTTTTCAATTCTGAACATTTCAACGCTTATTTATATAATGTACGTAGCTGAAAATCAGTTATAGAATCAAATAAATAAATCCAAAAAGGAACCTTATACGTTTTAAAGGACCATTATCCTTCATAAAATTCTTTAAAAGGCAGTTATCCTGGCTGCGATCATCACGTACAGTGGAGTGCAAAAACTAACTAAACTACATATCTAGTATCTGAATAAAATCAATGAATATATTCATCAAACCGTCTGCACCAAGTGCGAGCGAGACGGGAAGCTGTGTAGGCTGCGGCGCGAAAGGGAGGGCAATACTCGCCCTCTTAATAGCTCCGATGGCGCATCATATTTTCCCGGGCAAAAAATGCACATCCAATATCATTTCACTCCAATAAAAACCAAATCCTTCCACATCTAATTTATACACGATGCTAATTTCACTACACTATTACTTCCTCCATATTAATGATGTCCTTTTATTTTCGCTTATCCCGTCGTACGAATTAATATTAATAGGAAACTGTGTCGCGATAGTCCTCTTTGAGAGTCTGGAACCTCGTCGAAGCACTTTCTAGAAGGTTCTTCATTCACTAAAGTAATCACTGTCCGACCGTCGTCGGCATCTATTGTCCGTTGTGGCGTCGACACCGGGCCGATTTCGGGCACCTGTAATACAATACATAAAGTTCAAACATTACGTTGGTTCATTTCACTACATAGTATAAAACAAAGTCGCCCCGCTGTCTGTCCGTCCCTATGTATACTTATATCTTTAAAAGTACGCAACGGATCTCGATGCGGTTTTTTTACTCGATAGTGATTCAAGAGGAATATTTATTGTATAATACACGCACCCGTGCGAAGCTGGGACGGGTCGCTAGTCTTTTAATAATCATTTCTGTGGTGTGCCACGGAGCAGTTTTGGGTGTTGCACGAATGGGCAGTCTCATGGAAGACCGGGGTAAAGTGAAAGTATTATAAAAAATATATTAAATGTATTTGATGACATGGTTTGCAGAGCTCTTGTATGGCCAAGTGTAAGCAAGGTGTTTATATGACCTAGAGGTAAATCTTCCGGATCTTAATGTTTGTGATGTTTTAAATTTGCGTTATTCATGTGCCGGATTATTCCATTAATATATGTAACGAAAATGTATAAAAAAATAATATCATTAACAATGTATATTTATACTACATATTCATATTTTTTTTATTTAATTTTGTTTTTGAGGTAGTGGGAGGAGGAAGGGATTCGGAGGTGCAATCCTGTGAAACGTAAACATGTGAGTGTTAAAAAGTCACTTACATGTTTAGGTAGCAACATGTGAGAGGAACAAGTATGTGATGTTGAAGGTTATATAGAGAATTATTGGGCTGGAGATAGTGAAAGTTGCAGAAGGTTGTAGAGAGAAGTATTGAGGGCGGAAGGTTGTAGAGAGAAGCGTTGAGGGGCGGAAGGTTGTAGAGAGAAGCGTTGAGGGGCGGAAGGTTGTAGAGAGAAACAGTGAGGGGCAGAAGGTTGTAGAGAGCAGTAGTGAGTGGCAGAAGGTTGTAGAGCGAAGCAATGAGCGGTAGGTTATTAGATAGAGAAGTGTTGAGGGGCGGAAGGTTTTAGAGAGAAGAGGTGAGGTGCGAAAGGTTCTTAGAGAGAAGCGTTGAGGGCGGAAGATTGTAGAGAGAAGCGTTGAGGGAAGGAAGGTTGTAGAGAGAAGCGTTGAGGGGCGGAAGGTTGTAGAGAGAAGCGTTGAGGGGCGGAAGGTTCTTAGAGAGACGCGGTGAGGGGCGGAAGGTTGTAGAGAGAAGCGTTGAGGGGCGGAAGGTTGTAGAGAGAAGCGGTGAGGGGCGGAAGGTTGTAGAGAGAAGCGTTGAGGGGCGGAAGGTTGTAGAGAGAAGCGTTGAGGGGCAGGGGGAGCGTGCGCGCACCGAGCTAGTCGGAGTCGGAGTCGTCGTTGACGCTGGAGCGCAGCTTGGAGAGCGTGCGGCGCGCGGCCGGCGTGCCGTCCTCCTCGTCCGACGAGATCACGATGCGCTGGCGCGGCTTCACGCCCGTCGCGCCGCGCGTCATGCGCCGCGGCACGCCCGCGCCGCCTGCCGGTTATTCCTCAGGTCATGCGCTTTTCTTTGGCCGATCAATAAGAAGCAATGCTTCTATATTAAATAAAGATATTTGGATTTCATGAGAATTTTGGAAGTTATAGTGTCAACAAGTCCCAACAAAAACGCACCTTTCAAAACTAATATGTAGAGATGGAGATGCAATTAATTTAAGAGGATTTAAACGAATAACAACCCCAAATTAATCTATCCCGAAAAGAGGAGTAACTAATCAAAATCTACCATTGACACTAAAAAACTAATCTCTATAATGCATATATAAGGTTGATTTTTTCACGTACCGGCTTCCTCTTTGTGCTTCACTTTAGCCTCCCTCTTGGCCTGTTTTTCCTGTTCCCGCTTGTCTAGTTTCGCCTGTTTCAACGCCCTGCACTTCTCCAACGTGGGCTTGCCCTCCAAACCAGCAGCCGTCAGGAGCTCCTGCATTTTCGCCACTCGCTCCTTGTTCTTTGTGCAACCTGTTCACAGATATAATCTTATTGCGAGAATTATAAACGTCAAAGTCAGCTTACCCATCCTAGACACGTAACGCCGGTCTGTGTTCGGTAGTTTCCCGGACCGGCGTGAAGTGTAAGTATAATACTATCGCGTTTCGTCTGGTCAGTGAGGTAACTAGCCGGGGCCCAATTTCCAAAAATTTGTCAAACCATCCGGAACCCCCGGGTGTAGCAGATGTCCATGGGCAGCGGCATTCACTTCGGGCGAACCGAACCTGCTCGCGTGGCAACTTTTCACGTAAAGAAAAAAGAGAGCTCGGTACCTTCGACGAGCTTCTTGTAGTCGAAGCGGATGCCGGCCGCCTTGCAGAACTTCTTCATGTCCGTGATGCCCGGCTGGCGCAGCTCGGGCGGCACTGGCGGCCGGCCGCGTCGGCCCGGCGTGCCCCCTCCGCCCCCGGAGCGCGGGCTCGCCGAGTTCTTGGAGCCCTTCGGCCGCCCGGGGCCGCGCTTCAGCGGCAGGTCCTGGGGGGGCGAACCGGCTCCAGTCTTTGGAATTTACACCACTTTCGGGATCGTAAAACAGTATATATTTGGGATACATTTTCACACGACGCTCTCTAGTCCCGAACTAAGCAACGCCTGTACTATGGGTACTAGATAACTGATGAACATACTTAAACATACTATTCTTTTGTAACTAAATAAACATTATACATATATAAACACCCAGACACTAGAAATACACTATGCTCATCACACAATATTTTTCCAGTAGCGAGGATCGAACCCACACCCTCTAACGCAGGAGACGGGTATAGTGTGTAGTCTCCCACGTCAAGAAAACTTCCTAGTACTTCTTGGTAGTTGGAGAAACACTCACATCATCACTCTCCTCGGATCCGCTGCCCGAAGAGCCTGAAGTGTCGTCGGAAGAAGACGAGTCCACCGTCGTTACCTGTTGGCCGGAACAAGTGCGTCATCACAAATCCTCTAAGAAGGTAAGAATTTTTTTGTATATGAGAAGATGGCAAGCGAGCTGGCCTTAAGTGATAATCACCACCCATTGCCATTTGCAACACCCGTAGGGTTCCAGATGCGCTGTCACCTTTGAATAAAATTGGACTCGGCTACCTTATACACCAAACGAAACGCAGAAGTATACGCTCTTCCACTTCACGCCAATCTACTCTGAGGTCGACTGTTTTGTCTATAATATACTGTGATATCCGCACAAATTGTTAGATGATCATTTTTTAGTATTAAAGCCAAAAAGTCGCGCGGGGGCTTGGTTTGACATTTGATAAGGGACCCCGCCGAAGACGAGGCTCGGCCTTTGCTAATCTGGTTAAGGCCCTCGCCGAAGACAAGGTCCGACAATTGTCGAGACGGATGTGGACCTTGCTGGATAGATTTCGACCTTTGTTAGGGTGGATTCGCACCTCGCCGGAGACGACGCCCCTGGCCTGCAGCTTGGCGGCGGCCAGCTTGGCGGCGGCCGCCTTCTGCGCAGCGATGTGCGCCGCCTGCGCCGCCAGCCGCTCGCGCTCCGCGTTCGCGTCGTAGTAGTTGAACAGCACCTCCATCGGCACCGGCACGTCGCCGAAGTACACCTCGTTCGGGATATGCGACGAGTCGAGGCAGTCGTCGCTCCAGCGCCTGCGCAGCCGTTAGCGGGTCAACCACGTGAGGATCACAAATATAACTTTTAAATAAAAATAAAGTAATGTGATATTTCAGTGCACATTGTCCGGACGCTCGCTTTTAATTCTTTACCCTGGAGCAACCGCAGTTCATATCCCGATGCGAGCACTAATGAAATAGTTAATTTTTAGTGCTGACTTATCATATATAGTAGTAACCTGCATATTATCGAAATAAGAGCAAAAAATATTAAACATTTTGAAGATGTGTTAAGTCTGCCAATCCACAGTTGGGTTGCATGGTGTATTATGCCATGTGTACAGAGGAGGCCATTGCTAAGCTTACCTTACTTTACTTTCAAAAACAAAATATTGTGCCACAACACCATGTTCTTTGAAAATCAAAACCCTACGGCACCACGTAGTACAGACGGCGGCCGCTAGATGGCGTTAAAACCAAACGCGTGCTAGGTCGGCGCGCGCAACTTGGCACGGTGAAACCACATTAACCACAAGAATGTGCACCGCGAGACAGCGCGTTCGAAAGGCGCACCTCTTGAACTGTATGCCGGAGAAGTCCTTGCGACTGAGGCGCACCGCGTACTGGTAGGGCGGGTGGCGGGGCCGGGGCGGCGCGGGGGCGGCGGGGCGCGGAGGGGGCGCGGCGCCCCGCAGCGGGCACGCGCCGGGCGCCCGCGCGGGCAGCACCGCCTTCGGCTTGTTCGTCGACCCCTTCGGCCGGCCGCGCTTCTTCGGCTGCGGAACATTATACATTATACATTATACACAAATACGCGGTACATGTGACCCTAGCGCACCGAGACTGGGACACTCAAATTTCATCGATTGGCGTGTTGGCACTTAAGTAGCATTACAAGTTTCTCCTTCTAACAGTATGTTTTATCTCTTTTAAATTAATTCAACCAATTCATATTGTTTGTCACCTTTACAAATTAACTTCACATTACAGTTTTATATGTAAGGGTGTTATCAAATTGTTTGTTTTGGAAAATTTGGTAAATATTGATGTAGAAAGTAAATGTTTAATATAATTACAAAAAGTTATCCTCTATATGTGTTCTGATTTAATGTCGCGTTAGAAGCACCACGTTGTATATGTAAAGCGGAAATATTTTTAAATGTCATGCAATATGAATAGTAGTTAATACGTCATCATATTATTAAACAGCATTGGTGGAACTCATATTCATGGCCGAGGAAGCCTCGGGCATAAGGATAAACGGCCGAGGCGCCGGAGGTCACGGGCTCGATTCCCAAACGAGACAACTACTTGTGTCACCCACAGATAGTTGTGCATTTATTGTATATAAAAAGTCCTTACAACACATGATAATGTTATCCTACATTTGTTGTTGGATAACATTATGCTGTGTTGGTGTATAACATTAAGGCAATGTTTTAGATGGGAAGACTACAATAGATCTGGTAGGTCACAGCGGTCATTGGGACTTCCAACCAACATGGGATACAAGGATCACCGAAGGACACTAAGGTTTCTTTAATATTCCAATCATAAATACAGCTTTCTCATGTAAAGGATTGTGTGATCTTTACTAGTTTAAAAAGTGAAAACATCAGATACCTCCAGGTTAGAGCTATTTTACATCAATATAGATAATTTCAAATTGTCAAAAACTTGAAACAAATTAATTTGCGGTTTACGGCGGTGAACCTTGCTTCTACTATGTCAAGAGTATCGGGCTATAATCTGGGCAAGTTACCTCTAGGCCGGGTGTAGATGCCTTCCCGGGTGACATACCGGCTTTGGGTGCGTCTGGACTGCTAAACTGTTTCCTGTCGTCCTCGCTGAAAATAAAAAGTAGTGGAGTAGTGATTACGGTGGTAGGGCCACGCAGCAGTCTCGGATGTTATACGAATGGGCAGGGCCGTCCGGGTAAGTACCACGACCTCACAGAAGACCGGCGTAAAGTGAAAGTATGAAAAATACTTTCGCGTTTCGTCTGGTGAGTGAGGTAGCCGGAGCCCAATTTTCAAAAGGTTGTCAACATATCTGTAACCCTCGGGTGTCCATGGGCGGCGGTATTCACTTACCATCAGGTGAAGCGTCTGCTCGTTTGGCAACTTTACACATTAAAAAAAATGAATTGTTTGTATGCACAAACATCTAACCCTACTGTTATGGGTATACTAAGATTGGGTCTTTAGTTTTAGAAGAGTCAACAGGACACTGCAAACATAATTTAAACTAATAGAATTCACCCGTTAGTCGAAATTAAAAAGTTTTCTCACTGATTCGGTCAATTTATTTTTTTTAATTCATTTATAGTATTAAGGAGATGCATTCTATTGAATATAAATGTTAGCATTCTGCATGCTTGATTAAAGTTCATAGGAAACTTTAACCAAGCCAATTCTCACATTTGTCCATATTTATCTGCTTTTGGTATTACTTTTTGTTGAACTCACATTACTGTTTCAGTCAACCAGAAAAAAATGCCTGGAACATAAGTAGGTGCAAGAATATCTGTGCCTCAGAGTGCAAACTCTTGCTATCCAAGCTTTGGCCATTGTAAACAAATATATGTTATTGTTAAGAATAACTTTATGTTTACCTCTTTTCTTCAGACTTTGGTCCGATTTCGAGAGGCCGCGAAATGTCACCGGCGATCTTCTCCGATCCCTCCAGCTTCGCCGCATCTATTTTCAGACAGTTACATTTTATATCTATAACATACAAAACCAATGAACAATTCTAAATCAAAAATACCAATACGTCTTTTCAAACAAAATATTATTGATCATTACAGTGGTAAGAGAGCTGGCCATTCACCTAATCTATCTAAGGATTTAAAAGTTCTTACGGGTGATGTGTGCGTTGACAACTTACAACCGAAACCGTTGCATCGCCCAAGTAAAACTATTTGTGATAATTATTTGTATTCACTTAATATAATTAAATTTTATAGCATGTAGCAGTCTTATTATAAAGTTTGCCACGTTTTAGCAATTTAGAATTGTCTTTTTTATTTGAAAACTTGGCAAGTGATCAGCACTCATTACATCCAATGCCATGGGACAGACATTTTACTTTAGTGGTGCCACACAACATCTCCTGCCGTGCACCAGACAGGTTCGGGAAAGTACCGCAGCCTCGCAGAAGACCGGCGTGATTTGGAAGTGTTTTACTTTTACGCTATGCAGCTATAGTCACTTAATATGTGACTAATTACCTTCGCGCTTAAAAAGGAAAACTAACTCTTACCAATAGTTTTCTCTCCCTGCATACCCTCTGCTATTAATTTTGGTTGCATCTCATCTGAAATGTGCGATATACAAGTTTAATTCTTTAAAATAATTTACAAATTATTTAATGTCATTTTTATGTCAAAAAGTCAATTACTGATTGAAATGTGTTTTATTTTCCCAGTTCCAGAGATGATGGCTTTTAGAGCCCAAGATCATCTCTGGCACTGGCATCATGCTCAGATGACTTAGTATCCAAATTTGGAGTCCTTGTGAATAATGCTTGGTATTAGCCAAATTTGAACAGCATTTGGTTCAAATGAGTTTGTTTATTTTGTATATTTAAATGTTGATTACCTTTGTTAAGCATTTCTGGAGGATGTTGCACCACTTCTAGTGGCTTCTGGGTGATGTCTGAAAATAGAAAAATTGACATAATTAAAAAAATCTTGCTTCAACCAATAACAAAGCTACAAATGTCATTTTAATATTTTTTTTTATGTGATAAAGTGGTAAACGAGCTGGCGGTTCACTTGATGTTAAGTGACCCATGGACTTTTCAACACAATAATTATGATTCACAAATGGTGTTACTTCATTAATGCTAGAATTTAGTGGATACAGAAACTATTTTTAAGCCTTTTGAAAATTTAAGCCTACAGAAATCAATTTTCAAGAATTTTTCTCTAAGCAGTAACATACCATGCGGCTTTTCCAAATCAGGTCTCAAAGCTAAGTCGTCTGGTTTGAATATATCCGTTTTTATCTTTATCTTCGGTTGATCAAGGTCACCGCCCTGCAATTATTTACAATTAAAATAATACTGCATATGTTCATACTGTCACATAATAGGTCAAAAAATTTGTTTCTTTCTAAAATAGATATTTGATTGGTTATAGAAATAAATTAAATTAACTTGCAAATCAATTTAGTTATTAAAAATAAATTTGATTTTGCCAGTATTGAATCAAAATTATACAAATCTTTAGTCAACATTAATAAAATATGTTTTTATTTTGTAAGAGCAAGCGGCAACCGCTTAGTAACTGGGCGCCATCTTTTAATTTGCGAAACCCGAGTTCAAATCTGGGACAAATTTTATTGCGATTTTTCAATTTTAATTGCTGATTTATGGCATTTTCATCATATAAGGATAACATATCTTATTCTTAGTTTCTCAAACACTGATGATCATAGAAATTAACTAATCAGAATCATCAATTCATAGATCAGAATGCTCAATTCAATGAGTTTAACAGTCCTTTTGGCAACACAAATGACATTTGAGAGCTGATTAGTCAATTTCTACAATGATCGGTGTTTTAGAAACTGGGTGTTTGTCTATTAAATCCCTCTTTATTAGATTTTGGCTAAAAATTTGGTATACCATATACATTATATAATTATACCATAATTTCGGTGTCAGGATGCGAACGCTTCTGTGCATCTGTTGGCTCCAGTTTAATCTCGGGCTTTAGGTGTTTAACATCAAGAGGTTTTTGTGCATCCAAAGGTGCTAGAAGTTGTGGTTGAGGTGCCCAGGCAGGCTTATGCACTACTTCAGCTGCATAACCTTGAACTGTAATATTTTATATGGAATAAGTGTAAAACAATGGAATTTATAAAAAACACCTGTGTTAAACTAACTGGAAAGTAATATCCTAATTGCCTAAAGTCTAGAGCTACAATTCCAATGACAAGTCATAAATCATCATCATCATCATTTCAGCTTGTTTGAGTCCACTACTGAACATAGGCAAGTCATAAATATTAATATAAATTTATCATAAATATATCAACTTATACTATGTATCTATCGGTAAATGTCAATAATTTTGAGTATTGGCTTGGACACCAGGGGTTTTGGGTTTGATTCCCACACAGAACAAATATTTATGTGATCTACAGTTTCAATCTGGGTCTTTGTCTACATGAATTTTGTTTGATTTGATGAATTTGGTTTGATGATTTGTTTGATTATGCCAATATTTAATAATGTTATAGTATCTCCTACATATCCCAATAATTGAAAGGCGCTTGATTTATCTTGATGATGTCTTGTTCTTTGTGAGCATCCTAAGGTATCATTATCAGGTAGTGAATATTGACTAAACATATGTGTCACAATAAGTCTAACATTGATTTTTGAAATGGTAGTTTTTATACATATATGACATAAAAAAAATTTGATTAAATACCCATGTGTGACTGAGGCATATGCAGCTGGGCCTGCGGTGGCTGCTGAGGCGGGAAACTCTGGTGATGAGCGTAATTTTGGTGCGCGGGAGGCGCATAAGATAGGTTTTGTGGAGCATAGCCTCCAGGCGGGGGAGGCCCGTATGCCGCAAATGCGTCAGGCGGCGGATAGTGCGTGTTATATGCGCCCGCATACGGTTGATAAGGTATTTGATGACCATTATCTACAAAAAGTAAAGAAACATAAACAGTAATCAACCTAGCAACTTTTCCCGCTCAAATGTTACAAAACTCCACCTACCTATGTAATTGAGCGGTAATCCATTTCCTTGGACGACACCGTGTCCCGGTTCACCCTCCATCCTCAACCGCTTCTGATTCATAGCTCTTTCGGCATCATAATTCATCTTGGACACTAAAAACAGAAACTGCTTAGAGTGGAACTTCCTGCTATCGCACAAAAACCCATTTCCACACCTACATCGCAACAAAATAACACTTATTAGACACTATCGTGTTAACTATGACAGACGCCAACCGGACGCCAGCATTAAACACAGGTTATACGCTCAGCAAAAGCAAACACAGCGTACCTTTGTTGGTCACTGGATATTATTGATTTTAGTTAATAGCACTTGAAACTTCCCTTACTATATAATAGCACATAATAGACCACAATATTATGTCAAAATAACTGTTGCATACGAAATATGCATCAAATTATCAGTTTTAGTGACAGTAAAATTAGAAAAAAAAACACAAGTGAAGCGTTCGTATATTTTTTTGTACTTTGTTTTTTTTTACGTCTGGTAATACAGGATACAGCCTTTTTAATAGTGTTATATATTTTGTCAAATTAAAATATTATCTTTTAAAATGCATTTTGTGATATAAACAATTTGATTTTTATTAATGTAGGAATTAAGTAATTAGCTTTAATTCGCAATAGTTAAAAATATTTTTTTCGGGTAAGTATATTTTAAAAGCTGACAGAATAAAAACTAATGCAACTTTCAAATTCTTATTATTATTAAAATTTATCTTTTATAAACTTGAAATTAATATTAAATTATAAATAAAAGAAGGTAACACTTGTTTTTCCTGGATTTGATTGATTTTGAATATGATTGTTTTAGTCTGTGGGCCGATGCGTTGCTTTTGTTCAAAAAGTTTGTGTAGATGTACAAATCGGTCTTGTTTAAATTTTTTGAGTCGGTTTATTGTGAGGAATTAAGTTATTTCGGTAAGTAATATATTATGTTTTTATTTCTGTGTAGACTTTATGTTATTGTGTGTGATGTTAATTATTAAATCGTTTTCACTCTAGGAGCATGCCCACACGCCGTTGAATTAAAAATTAAACCATAATATTGCTTTAAATGTTACTAAAAAGTCATACCAGTTGATCTTAAGATTTTATATCATATTATTTATTCTCAAAGATAGAATATATCAGAAGGCTATTTTCATACTCTACCGTAATTTGATGAACAAAAAATCTTTGATTCTAGTGCTCTTCCGTATCTATTACTGGAATCTGCTAATATATTAAATGTACATTTCTTTTTCACTGTTTTAAAGTAACAAAATTCGTTTCACAAACATGTAAAAAAAATACAAATGTAACAACAAGAATATCTTTTTATAAGCAGTATTATAGGTTTGTTTTAAAGCTTTCGAACAAACCACAGTTGTTTTGTACGAATAATCAATACATTTATTAAATGCTATATAATACTTTTGATTCTTTACAACAGTATATCATTTATTGACTAAACACAGTATTAATCCTTGCCAAAAAAAAATTCTGTGATTCTGTGTACAACTTCAATTTTTAAATGTGTTTTCCTTGTAACTATCAATGTGTTAAGTTGAAATAAAAAAAAATCTCATAATTTTGCAACCAGGTAAAAGTTAAAGGTAAGGTAAAGTAGGGATATTTTGGAATATATTATACAAGATGTATGTGATAAGTTGTAACTATGGTTATACCATTTCTAATAACTAAATATAAGTATTGATTTTTAGTTTTTTTGTACCAGTTCTGTATAATTTTTTTACAATTTAGATCACCAAAAGCTTAATAGTTGATATTATTCTAGTCATGGTCTTATCTACCTATCTTAATGGCCAGTTGTCATTTTTTTGGCTTTTTTAGCTTTAAAGTAATATGCATATCCAATATTTGTGGCTGCACTATATGTTTTTGACAATGTATGTTTATTTAATTTGTTGGTACCGTAATGATATGGTATAATATTTATACAATTTTAGATGCAAGACCAACAAGCTGACATGTTTAAGAAATCTGAATTTGATAATCCAATTTGTCTTAGCGATGAATACTTTAAAGACATCAATGGGTGAGTTGATATAAAATGTACCTACCATATTATATTAATGTTTTTAAACTAGATCTAAGTTCACAAAGCATAATTATTTATAGTATATGCTTTAGGACCTTAGCATGTATGTTAATCTATTGAATAATCCTTTCAAATCAGTAATGAAACATTTATGTAAGTATCATTATTTCAGTAATAAATAAATGTTATGCATAATTATAAAATTACTAGCTTAATAATTATGATGCAATAGTTATACCTTCAGCATCGTGTTGTTTGCAATCATTAAAAGTAATCTGATGTCTTTTTATTATAAAATGATTATAAAATAAGGAATTTTATAAATTTGTACAATAATATTCCTTTCTTCAATATTTTTTTTTACTGTGTTCTTGATTCTTGCTGTAACATTGTAACATCGGATACTTATTATTTAACATAAGATATTCTAACCCAGTGGTGTTATGTTACAGGGACATGAACCTCACCTTGGTTGATATGGGGGTTATGGAAAATTTTCTTCAAGATGAGGATACAATGGAAGCCGCCCAAAAGTTTAACCCTCATTATGAAACATTCACTCCGGTATGTTGATGAAGAAGTACATTTTTATCAACAAAAAACAAATATCTCACTCACTATGTATTTTTTGGTATCTCCAGAGTCTAAGGTCCAATACCAATGAAATATGACTAAATAATATATAGGACCACATGAGAGTTAAAACAAACCCTATGCAAAAGTAATTAATGAAACTGATGATAAATGTTGAAGTTCTGAGGTTAAACAAAAAAAATGTATATGAAGAATTTAATATCTTCTTCTTTTTATTTTATAGCGCTTTTTAGTTATTTGCCAGCATCCATGTAAATATAGGAAAATTACTAAGTGGATTGGTTAAGAATGTAATATGTTAGAACATGTAGAAAAGATGTACGATGAAAAGATGTAAGTGCAGAGATTAGCACTATAAAAAACATTAAAATGTAATATGATTAATATTTCTTCTAGGTATCACCATCTGGTCCACCTGAAACCGAAAGCTATGCTGGGCCACTAAATTTTTTAGTTGAAATAAAAGCCTCTGAGACAGATAGGAAGAAATATCTTGTAAGTATAATTTTTCTATAAATGATCTAAGGACTAACTATCATTTACCTGTTGTGTTTAGTCATTAAATTGTAAAATTAATGTCATAAGCTATTTCTTTAGGTTTAGGATCTCCATTATTTCTATTAGGTTTTCCATTATTTAACTTTGAAATTATTGAAGTAAAACTTGTTTAAATTCAGTTAAGAGGAACTAACTGAATTCTTTGGATGAACACAATGAAACAAAAACGCATTACGGCGATGACATGTTTATATATCATCCAGTTTTTAAATATTGACACTGTATGTATGTTTTTATTCATGTATCTGAACTATACATTTAAAATAAAAAAAATATTAATAATTTATTCTTCTCATACATAAATAATAAATTAAATCAGTCAAGAGGTCGAGATTTTCGCGTTAGTGTTTGGAAGGCGGCAGCGGTGAAAAATTTTGCGATAGTTTTGTCTACATATTTAAAAAAAATGATTTATGTACAGATTGACCTCATCAGTAAACAGATATCAAGTGATACTAAATGTTATATTGATTGAATCTAAATCAATATAATATTTATTATCACCCTCAATATAACATTTATTGTCTAAAGAATAATTTTAGTATAATGTTTACCTTGTTGTTATTTACAAAGCATAGACTTTGCTAAGTTATATACTAAGCAATAATATAGGTATGTGTGACTGTGTGATGTACATGTTACCATGACCAATTGATTTGATGGCATGTAATAAGCTAGAAAAATTTAAAGGACTAGTTTTAACTTACTATTAATACTCTAAAGTGTTTGTTTATTTCTGTACATGCCTACTGGAACTTTTCGCCTTGGGATCTACAGCCTTGCACTCCAATTTTTACCAAGAGTAATGTTTGAACATGAGAAAGTTAATGAAGGTGGGCGCTGACATTGTTTTGCTTAGTTAACAAGGAATTTTTATGCGATAAAAATATTACGTAACTGTTAAAACCTTTTATTAAATAAATTGGTGGATACCTAACTGCTTAATCTGCCCTTAAATCCCATGGGAAGAATTTTAGTTTGACTAAAAACTATCAATAAAATCAGTTGTGTAATCTGATTTTATTTTAACAATGTAATCTTAATTTAAATGTAATACTACTTCATTATACTGCACAATAACAGGACAAATTAAGATCTTGGTTTATAATTATATTAGATATTTAATAGGTTTTCATGCACTGTTTTAGTAAATCAATGGCATTTGAAAGTGTATGACAATCAAATACAGATGTCCTGAATTGCGTTCAGCTCATAGAATGTATGTATATATTTACATTTTCAGTATTCCGCCCGTCTCAACCGCATATACGTGGACATGGGGGAGAATTTCCCGGTGCACTTCAGTTGGGATGTGGCAAAGAAGAACCTGTTGTACCACCAGGGACAGGATTTGTACGTGAGAGCGACCGTTGTCTTCTCCGACCAATCCCAAGCAGAGAAACGCGTAGAGCGGTGTTTACAGCACGTGCATGAACCTAATAATCCAGGTGAGTCTGCGGGATTCCTTTTAATATGTTACAGTACTTTTTTGACATTCAACAAGAGCAATCAATGTCAACAATCATGTTAAGTGATAACCGCCGCCCATAGACATTTGCGACATCCGTAGGGTTGCGAATGCGTTGCCACCTTTAAATAAAGTGGGCCCGAGCTACCTCACTCACCAGACGAAACACAGAAGTGTAACACTTCCACTTTACGCCTGTCTTCTGTGAGGTCTTCTGTGCAACTTTGATACTGCCACTGCCATTGTGCCATTTGTACTGCCACTGACATACTTATGTGCAGCTCCAACTGGAAATGCGATAAAGTATGTAGATAAAATATGTTGAGATTTTCGTCGGTGTGGAAATCAGCCGAGTAGCTTAGTGCGTCGGGACGCGAATCCGGAACACAATTCGATTCCGGCAGCGACAAAAACCTTTCCTTTTCTTTTATTGTACTAGCTGCGGTCGCGATTGACTTCGGAGATAGAGGGGGAGGGTTAATCATGGTGGTAATTTCGGAAAAAATAATAAAACTAAACTTCGTTTAGCTACCCTGGTTTTTATATATTTTATGCAAACAATAAAAGTTGTACAAATTAGAGTATTATGTTTAAAGGAAGTGATTTTGGCAGAACTTATGACCCATCTAGAAATAACTATAGATATATGTATGGCATACACAATTGCCGACCCAATTTGTACAATGGATAGTGATTGATGGTGGATCACCACTACTTGAAAAATATTATATGAAACTTTTTTTCGGTGTTTACGTGTTATTATAACAATATTAAGTATTTATTTACAAACAAAAAGTATTTCTAAAGATAGTAGTTTCCTGATAAACATAACCTACCTAATAAACGTAAACATGTCTTGGAATATTTATGCTATTGTATAGTTTTTTGTTTTATTTAGTACATCTACATGAAGAAATTTTAAAATAATTTTCAAAGAAAGCTAGTGAGCTTAAGGGGCCCATAGATGATCAGGTCATGGATACTTTCAACAATTAAAGGATAGCAGAATCATTGCCAGCATTTCAGAAAGGAAGTTGGCGACTACCAGCCATCAAGATGGTATTGATGGTGTGATTGTTATACATGTAGATACCCAAAGTGCTTACCACTTTGCAGGCAACGAGGCCATTGTAAAGAACGTGCTGCGTTCCACTCGAGCACTGGGCACTGCCGGTGTCCACTATTGTGGCGTGGCTTCCCGAGCCGACTCCTGGCTGTCAGTTCTGGTGCATTTCCCTGCTCCAGGCGGCCACGCGTACCAATTCGTCTGCAAGAACTCCTGCTCGTCTGGCATCAACAGGCGTGCCATATCTATAATATTCACCCTGGAAGACAGCTGGTGAGTACTTGACTTACGTAGTGGACAGTTAACTCTTTCATTACATTTTGTGGGTTTAACATCCACTGCTACAAAAATAATTGTGTTTTTCCAGTGCCTAGAGTTTATATATGTATAATATGTATTTATTATTACTATGTATAGTTTAGGATTGGATAGTGTTGTGTAAAAACATCCTAAAGTATTTTTTATTTTCTTAACTTATGTATGATTTAACTAAATTCTCTGAATGGGACTTCTCGTATTCCATGGGTTCTATGATAGAGTATGTCAAAGCTGCCAGTTAGCCTTGAGAGAGGATCTCCGGTTGACTGTTACGGTGCAATTCTCCACTTGACTATTGTGGTGCTATGATTGAAGTGCTGGACAGCTTTGGTGCTCCACAAAAAATTACCCATAATTGTGTCTTCAAATCTCACACAAAAAACATGAAAAAGCACCTGCCTCACTATGAACACAATCTTTATCACCAACCTTGTAATTATTTTCAATGAAATATAATAATAAATTTTTTATGGCTCTTTGACTAAACATGCATTGATATATCAATATGAATTTTTTTCAGTGGAAACGTGCTGGGCAGGCAGAGCGTTGGCGCCCGTGTGTGTGCCTGCCCCAGAAGGGACTTGTTGAGGGATGAGGCGGAGGTTGGCAAAGGCAAAAGGAAGAAGCAAACCCAGCCGGACAACCCGAAGAAGGTGAAGATCGAAGTGGTAGAGAATGATGATGAAGTGGTGAACCTACCAAAGGTAATTACAAAGTTTGATGTAGGGATATTATTGATGTAAAATTTCTTTAGGCGAGAAAAGGAGTGACTGAATGCTTTAGTGACAATGCAACGGAAACGTAGTAGGACCATGACGCGTTTACAGAGTATAAACGTAGATATATTTTAGATATTTACACTGTATGTAGCTAAACTATATGTTTAAAATAAAGGTAATTTAAATAATAATTTATTAATTAATATTAAATAATAATTAATAAATACTAATTTTGTTATTAACATTAATAATGCATTAAATTTTTATTAATTAATTTAAAAAAAATTTATTTTACTGCAACCGCTTGTAAAGGTTACACACTCATTTTTTATATTCACACAACAAATGTTGAGAAAATAAGGATTATTATTATTCATTTGATATATTCCTTCACTTTTTTACCGATTAGGTGGACACTCAACTAACTTGGAGATTTATTATCTTAGTGTAGAACTTTTTTAAAAGAAGATTTATAAAGATAGATAAGGAAAAAATTATATAGTATATTTCACGGAATGTCAAGTGACATATACAATTTTTTACCTGTCTTAGATTTTTCAGAAATGGTTTACTATTGAAATTAAATTACAAATAAATTATTATTACAAAACTAGTATTCAGTTCAATTTGCCCATAATCAACAGTATTCCTTTTTTCCTACTACAAGAGATCAATGTAAATGGCCCATTTTAAAAAAATTATAAAAGCTTAAAATTTCGAAATTTACTTAACTATTGTCAAAAGTCCATCATAATATTTTGCTTATATAACTATTTACTTAGTACGGAAGTTCTCTGTGCTGTCTCTTTGCATTTACTACTTCTACACAACAATTTTTTTACGGAAGGCCTTACCTGGGAGTTACCTCACTCCTCAGAGGAAAAGCAAAAGTAAAAACACTTCTACTTGCTAGCACTAATACTGATAGCAAGAAATCTCTATGGTAGTAAAGTCTTAAGAAGTAGTAGTATGTATATGTTTGTCCTTTATGATGTTTCAGATCCCAATAAAGGGAATTAAGACTGTAATGACAGGACTGGAAGTTATGCAAAGAATGATGGAGGTGAGTGTCAGCGAAGTGGCCAAACGGAAAGACCAGAAAGCGGTTGACGAGTACAACAACTGCCTCGCAATTCTCCAAACCACAATAGAAAATTTAAAGAAAGGCCTGAAACCACCTCAAACTCAATAGCATATAGGGCGGTTTAGTCTTAACAACAATTATTATCATCAAAGTTTAACATATTTCACCATAAAAAGGGCTAGGTACCCTTTTAATTATCCATGACGTAAACATATGATACCTGCATAATCTGACAATTTATTAATCTGTTTAAAGAAGCCTTATTTTTTAATGTTAAGATGCGAGCTACCCAAATTTTACAAGAGATTGTTGTTAAATTAATTCTCTGTAAATTCATTTCACATCTTTGCTTTTCTTGTGGTCTTCCTTAAATGCATATTGTTAAAAAAAATTGTGCATAGAAAATGAAGAAAATTACTAATTAATTGTTATTGGTGCTAATAGATTGAGCAATATTACATTTAAAATTAATACTTTATAAAACAATGTAGAATTGGTTTCAATATTATAATTTAAATTTTAAAAGTTGTAAGAAATTACATATAAAATGTTTAGATAAATCTTTACAATATGTAATAAGTACAATTATTATAATTCTTGGAGTTATATAGCGACAATTATTGTTATAATTTTATATTTTTATTTGTACCACAATATATGTTAAATTTTGATCATAATGATGCCATGTCACAACTCATTTTATAGATTTATTTAGTTTTTAAGTATTAAGTGACATTTTAATTTTTTTTAAGTACAATAATTTAAGTTTTTAAATTGTCTTTAAGGTGTTTTACATTTTCTCATATTCCATTGAAATAAGCAGTCCAGTGATTGGAAAAGAATAATAATTGCTTTTCTGAAAATTTAGCATTTACAAAAATATAACTTGAACAGTGTTTGAAGAGAATGATAGTAATGAATATGCAGAGTGTCTTTACAATCGCGACAATAAATGAACACAAATATAGAGGATAAATTTTTAAAATCGTATTAAACATTTACATTCTTTAAACATCCATATTTACCGAGTTATTAAATTTTCCAAAACAAACAATTTTAGAACACCCTTACGTATAAAACTGTAACGTAAAGTTCATTTGTAAAGGTCACAAAGCTTAGGAATGGGTTGAATGAATTTGAAAGAGACAAAACATACTATTAGAAGGAGAGGCTTGTAATGTGATGCGATTTGTGGCAACAAATGAAAGTCTCTGAAAGTGTGAATCAGTCAGTTGTAGTTGTAAAGGATGTTACAAATTTTGTTTCTTTTTTACTTAATTAGTTTGTTTGTAAAATATTTTTTTAATAATGGATTTTTTTAACATTATCATTTTTTATGTTTATTGGCAAGTAGCGTTAGACGTGTGTTCATTTATTGTCGTGATTGTAAAGACACGCTGTATAGTATAGTATATCTTGTATGTACCATGTGTTTCTTTATATTAAACTATATCCATTTACCATTTTTCTGGCAAACTACACACCGATTTAGGTGTCCAGTTATATCCACACGTATTCCACAACTTCTTGTTGAGGAGTGGTGAATCTTCAAAAAATACTTTATACGAGATTTGAGATAGGTTATAATTATGTGTACTTTAATATTGAAATTAAGTGTAGTTGTATTATGTTTTTCTTTGTCATACATTTAAGATAGTTTGTACCTCTGAAAGTTAGGTATTTTTTATTTACTTAATAATTTTTAATTTCTTAATTCAATACAAGAAAGAGGTGTGATAGCTCAGTGTCCGGGTCCCACTTTCAATCAATTATACTCTAGCATCCCAAGTTCAAATCTGTGCAGTGAAATTTAACATACATGAAACAAAAAAATTTTTTTCAGTTATATGAATTCTGCCAATCCTCAGTGGGTTCGCGTGGTGGCCTTTGCCCATCTGTGGAACATTAATAGTCTGTGTTAATTTAGTTTTATACACAAATACCTTAGGTAGTTTCCTACCACTGCAAACGCCATACATATTTTTATTTGCTACTCCAAGTTTTAGATCTTTCAGATAGGTTTTATCCACAATGTACACAAAACACTTTATAAATATTTCAGTTTTCTAATCAAGACACCACAAATCAGAAAATATATGTACTACATATAATGTGGTTTAACTGGCAGGTAAAATGTTAACTTGAAATAGGAAATATACTGGTTAAACTGACCATTTCCACTCTATGTTATTTTAGCATTAATATTTTTTTAACTAGTGCTGGCCAGTGCCATAGATCTTAGTTAATATTCTGAGTATAAACCTACAGAATCTTGCCTTGCAGATAATGAGTAATTGTGCCACTCCAAAACTGAAAAAACTCCCACCAAATATAACATAAAAATTACCAACTCTGCTAATCTGTAAAAATATTATGTCGCCACTCCTCTGTTGTATGTAAAGACTTGTGCATTTATTGTCTTTACCTATACAACCCACCAAATGATTGTGGTCACTAATGTTATATAATTAATTTTTTGTTATAATGATATTGGTAGTTAATAAATTATGCTATATATTTTTTTTTCTGTTCCATTTCTTATTTTTAAGTCAAACAGGCAAACAAGTAATAACTAATAATAAATAAGTAATGTACCTAACATTTAGTAATAAAATCTAAGTTTCGTTGAAAGTACTCACAACAATTGTTGAAACTGCCATCATACTAGAATTTGTCACTGTTTCAGAAAGATAGGCACCATAGACTAACTACTACTATTAGTTAAAGATGTACACTTGTTTGTTTGAAATTCTTGTAGTATCTTTAATTTTTGTTTTGCTTATTTTAAATATGTTTAGAAAGATGTTTGATGAAACTGTATTAAAGCCATTATTGGTCAATCATTCCAGTATGATTTTAATATCTTTTAGGGAATCGGGATATTTAATTAAAAAAACAAGTTAGGCCAAGGCTTGGGTGCAGTTTAATTTTTGTATATTGAAAACTTTTGAATTTGGTTTAGTTTGGTAATCATGATGTGATTGCGAATTTATGTGCCTTTTCTTTCTTATTTAGAAGTAGTAATTGTTTCTTTTAGTATTGATATGTTAAACTGCAGTTTTGGAAAGTGTTTTTATAATGATTCCGCCTTAGTAAAATTGCTCCTGTGGTCAATAAATGTAATGAAAAAAGACTTGTCTATTTATTTCTATTAATGATGAAATAAAAAATATATTTTATGAAACAGTAGTTCTATTGTGTTATTTAAGCACTGAATATTTCCCAACACTAAATTATATGCAAATGTAGCATGTTTAATACATTCCCTGTGTGTGCTCCATATATATTTAACTTATGCTGATAAATGGGTCCGTCTGTGGGGACTGGGGTATAACCGTAAAATAACATGTGCCTTACATATTTTTCCATATTGCTATAAATTTTTAGAAACAAGACAAACAGAAAAATGTTTAAAATCTCATTAAAGTGTAAGTGTTGCTCCTACAATGTGGCCTTTCACTCGAGTTAGCCAGTATCTGTATTCTATTTAAGAGTGCTAGTTCATGGTAATCGGTAAGAATACATCTTTTTATGTCAAAAGGGTTCACTAAAACTATAATTTTGTTTTGTCATCATATATATTTATTATTCCATAGATCTTGTATAATTTATTTTCTTGTACAGGTGTGTAGTTCTCAGAAGGAATGTCTCAAGTTATTACTAATTTTATATAACACTAGCTGACTCGGCAAATGTTGTTTTGCCATATAAATTATTTCTAGAGGAATCTGAACGCACGCATAGTGTTTGACAGGTTACACGGACATAGTTACAGGTACAGTTTGTATGGGAAAATAAAATTGTTGCTTCAATTTTCAATGCAATTTTTTCATAATTTCTCATAGTTTAAACCTTCCCTGGACTGCCACAAATATATCAAAATTAGCCAAATCGGTCCAGCCGTTTTTGAATTTTAATGAGACTAAAAAACAGCAAAACCTTTTTATATATATAAGATTAAAAGGTAAACTACAAATTACTTGGTTTTTGAGATATCTGGAGGTAGAATATCCTCACAAAACCATGCAGCAGCGTTTGAATGAATAATTTTGTTAGTGGAAGTGTCACACACTTGGTTGAACATAAACCTATGTACTGTACTTTTGTCTGATTATTAGTTTGTAGAAGTTAGTGGGTCGCAGTAATCACTTAACATGCACACCTCCAATATCTGCCATAAAAATACATATGAATATTAATTATACCAAAAAACAGGTACTATGTAAGATTGTAAATTATTACTGAAAAATGTTTTGGATGAATATTATTATGTAAAATAAAACATATTATCTTTTCATTATAGTATATTTAGAGCAACTTCAAATGACCAGTCACCTTATCAACTATGTCTTTGGGTGCTGGACCTACTCCTAAAACTGTAATTGAGTTTGGTGCTATTTGTGTCCTTCCTGCATCCTTTATTAAAGATGTGATGAGGCCCATCTTTTTGGCATTATCTGCGATTTGTTTAATTTCATCTACGGAATCAGTCTTTAAAGCTATTTTGGCCTGACCAGTCATTTGCCAACATTTAAGGCCTTCAGGGTCTTTCTTTTGGGCCTTCTCAAAAGCACCTACCGCTGCATGACTGCACTGTGCTGCCATTTTGCCTTTGCCCATGTTTAAATCTGTTCGGACTACTAGAACAAGCTTGTATTCGGAGTCTGATGAGAACTGAAAAATAATACATTTATTTAAAGCTAACAAACTATATTATTAAGAAACCGAAATTCATTGTTAAATTTTACCTTTTTCACAGTTTTAGCAGTGTCGGAAACTATACCAAAATACTTTCTAAGTGCTAACAACGAAATTCCTATACAAATACCACATCCTAACCCCGTAAAGAATGACATATTAATATCCATTTTACGTTTTAGATCAATGGTGGCTGTTTTAATACTGAATATTTCACTGATTAAGTTTAGGAATTTTGTTTACTGAATGTAAAATGCTAAAAAGAAACCGGCATGACATTTGTACATAACAAAATTTAATGTTACAATAAAATAAAATCCTGCCTGCTTGAATCTTGTGGCAGCTTTTACGTTAGTTTTTGACAGCTGAACTGACACTAGCTAGGGCTAGCATCAAACCTAAGAGTACTTTCTTTTATATATCTCAAATACATCAAACTTTAAATATTTTTGTCGGAGTTTACGGCCCCGCAACGAGGACTTCTAGACCAATTTATACTATTCAATATACATGTAAACTTATTTTTTCCTTACAGGGACATAACACAACAAAGGAAAAAAACCAAATTCTTTCACAGATGTAAACAAAATATCAAACAAAGTACTTTGATTTTTAATAAAAAATTTATATATTCTATATTATTAATTCATCATCATCATATTATCAGTCATTGCTGAACATAGGCTTCCTCTATTGACTTCCATTGTGACCGGTCGGTAGCGGCCAGCATCCAGCGAGTCTGCGATCTTTACTAGGTCGTCCGTCTACCTTGTGGGTTGTGGGGCTTTCCTAAGTTGCGCTTGCCGTCATGTGTTCTCCACTCGAGAACCTTTCTACCCCAATGGCAGAAATTATTACCTATATATTATATTCTTATTTCTTTCTATTTCTTTTTGTGTGAAAATTTATCAAGCGTGTGATTAATGATACCAAAAGACATCTACAACACCTGAAAGGTGTGCAGATGCGGTGCCTGCCAACCTTTAAAAAAGTGGGCCCCGGTTACCTCATTCACCAGACGACACGCAGAAGTAAAGATTTATGTTACTCTCGCCTCACACCGGTGTTCGGTGAAGCCATACTTCGTACTTCGTATGAAGCCATAGCGCGTACCTCTCCCAAAAGCTGCTGTGTGGTTCTGCTAATAATAAATTGTAGGAAAAAAATTGAATCCTTTTTATAGTTTTAAGTTTTTTTGAATAGATAACTTTATTGTTATGAATGGATTGGCTGTATTTTTTCATATAATTTTTTGAAAAGAAATTGAAGTTACTAAATTGAGAGTTTTTGTTTCTACCGGAAAAAAGAGAATAAATCAAAAATCATCAAAAAATATAGCTTAGTTTTAATAGTAATCAATTCATGCGGTACCCTTTCCAAACGTAGCAATTGCTTAGCAACTGGAATTGTTTATTATTCGGCTGTAATCAAAAGCAGACATTTATATCTATTAAATTTTATTCTGTAAACATGAAGAAAACAATGAAAGATTTAGCACCTATTGCGATTCCGCACGGTCCGCCTGTAGAGTCTACAGCGGAATATTTTAAATCTAAAATGGAAACTGCTAATATGACACGGTGAGATCTGCTGATACTTGCTCAACTATACAAAGATAAACCGACATGTTGACTGACTGGTCTCTGAAGTTATTCCAGTAAGATCTTACGAGGAACATTGACTAAATTCTTAAAAAAAATTACATTGAAACAGTACAGAGCATTGAAAAAAAAAAAGATTATTTATAGACTATCTATCAATAATCCTTTAGAGATTAATAAGAAAAGTAAAAAATACAAGCCTGCAGCCTCTTGTAATAATTATAGTATCGAAACATTGGTGTTACATTCGCTTCCTTTATATTTTACCAGAAAATATCCAGTCTGGGACGTTGCGCGTCCCACACCACAAGTTCTCATGGAACAAGCGCGCCGTGATCTCATGGAGGCGGACGAAAAGCTCGTCTCAAAGCGTGAAGAAGAAAAAGCAAACCGTGTAATCATGGACGCAAAATGGCAGGAATTGCGCGAAAAAGAGTTACTCTTGAAAGAATCCTTTATCAGTTTCAACAAGGTTCGCGTGAAATAAATACCTAATTTATTTATTATCTTATTGTAAGGTCCATATGCGGTCTAGCCAGCGATTAATACAGGCAACTACCAGCAACAACCTCGATGGCTCATGTGATATTACTCCTCATAGATAACGCTCAACGTGGAAGGCCGTATCTAGCTCTTGGGTTTGCCAGATATCTTGCGAGTTCTACGTTCGATGAAGCTTTCATAATCTACGCACTGAAAGCAAAAACATCAGTTACAGCAAAGTAAAGTAAAGGAATTTAAAGAAAACACCAATACATAGAAACCTGCTTAGAATAATGGTCTAATACATCATTTTTATCCGTAATCTTTCATCATAATCATCGTTTCAGCCTATTCAAGTCCACTGCTGAACATAGGCCTCCCCCGCAGACTGCCACGAAGCACGATCGTGAGCCACCTGCATCGATCGATTTAACATCTGCACAGGTCTCACTTCGCCTCAATGTTTGTCTGCAATGAATTGAGACCACCGTTTCGTTCAGTTTATTAGAGAAAATCAAGAGAAGCGAGACCGAGCGGAAAGGAAGATGGAGGAAGACACCCAAGTGCTGATACGCAAAACGCGGGAAACCGAAGCGATGCGCATGCGCGTGGCCGAAATGGAGGAGGTAAAGCGTCTCATGGAGCAACAAGTCCGGGATTACACTATCTATGAAGTACGTATGAACTACACGATATTAGTAAACATGGTTTATAAGTCTAAAGTTAAATATAAAGTTAAAGTAATTTATTTATTCAATATATGCCTAAGTTAAGTTCATAAATGTCAAAAGAAAACTACCACAGGTTCACTGAAGTACGAGTACGTTTGAAATACATGATATGAATATATGTATATGGCTTATTTCAAACTCAAAATTTATTTATTTATTAGAGCGTTAATTTAAGTTCGTGAACGTAAAGAAGCCGTGATAGCTCAGTGTCCGGGCGCTCGCCTTTAATTCAATATACTCGAGCAACCTGAGTTCGATCCCCGGTGCCAGCACCAATGAAGTTTTTAACTTTAAGTGCTGACTTATCACTCATCGTGAGGAAACCTGCATATTTTCGAAATAATCACAAAAAAAAATATATTTCGAAAATATGTGAAGTCCGCCAATCCGCAGTGGGGCCGCGTGGTGGACTATGCCCTGATACCCTCTATAGATGAGGCCTTTGCCCAGCAGTGGGACATGTATAGGCCGTTATAATAATACGTAAAGAAAAACTACCACCGGTTAGATCTGATCAGAGAAGAAGTTCTCTTTTTTTAATGATATAAAATTAGCAGTAGCCAGGGCAGAGCAAGAGTCGTTTCCATAAATCGCTGTTCTTCGACATTATATTTTTTTTTATTATCTTTATTTTTATGGGGTTTTTAAATTCAACACTAGCTGTGTCCGCGACTTCATCCGCGTGGAAATTAGTGAAATGAAATTGCTTTCTCTCTCTATTTAAAACTTACTCGAAAGAAACGGAAAGGCCCTTGTGTGGTGTTCAAAAAAGTTCGTATTTTTAAAAGTTTATATTGTACATGTTTATGCACGGTATACAAAAAATACCGTGGTATTTTCTAAGAATGCTGTTTCAGTTACGTGACTGCTTGGCTCTATTGCAATGTTGCAAGTTTAGTATTTATAATTATTAGTGTAAATTATTGAACACTTCAATTTACAGGACTACCTCATGTCGGTGGTACAAAACTATCCCGAATTTAAGCAACCATTGGACGTGTTGAATCGTTACGAAGCCTTAGGTAATTGTCTTTGCAAGGTTTATTTTGTGACAAATTTTATGAATATTAGGATATTCGAGTCCAATGCAGAACATATATAGTGCCTACGCTCTAAATAAAATACAATATAATAAAATACAGCCTTACTACGCTGTAAACAGATATATCACCTTCGGAACTCGTATTTGTTTGAGATAGACGACATCACCGCGGATGGAACAGCAACTCAATTATTCTACGACAACAGAAGTACCCTACAGGTTTTGGTTCGAAAATCTATATGGTAGTTCCCGTCGACGTAGAATCACGAAATTTGGCAAAAAGCAGTTTTGGTCTTACCGCCCAAATAAAGGAAAAATCAATTGAAAATGAAAAAGTAAGTAATAAGGTAAATTTTGGCACTTCAAGTTTTCGCGATAATCTAAATTTCCTATATCTTTCTATCGTGTTGACTCAGGACTTTGATTTTTATACACATCTTAATTTGCTAAGTCTGCCCGTTCCTAAAAAATCGGTGGTGATTAATTACCAATTTTATTATGGCGGTATTTTTTTTTTATGTGAAAAGTTGCCAAACGAGCAGACGGTTCACCCGATGTTAAGTGAATACCGCCGCCCATGGACCTCTGCTTGTACACCCGAGAGTTACAGATGCGTTGACAACCTTTTGAAACCATTTATTTGGTATATGGGTAGATAGGGAACTTTCGGCGTACGAGTTCGAATGGCACTTGACTGTTTTTAAATTTATTACCGTTTCGTAATGAGGTTCCTCTAACGCAATAGAAACAGGCGAAAGAACTTAATTTTTTTTTCTTAAAATATTATACAGCATGTAATTTTTTTTTTTGCTTTATAAAACGATTCTCGCAGCCGCCGCTAAGAACACCCTCGCCGAGCGTCAGGAACGCGACCTGGAGATGCTGGAGAGCGCTCGCCAGGAGATAGCGGCTCTAACAGAGGAGAAGAAACTTTTCATAATGGGCCTCAATAACACGCTAGCCGAGTTAAGGGTTAGCTACCTCACAGTGTTTTCAGTAGAAAATAATTGATTACTTTTTTACAGAAGAAGGTTTCACCGTGGTAGAGCCACGCATCAGTTTTAACTGTTGCATGAATGAGCAGTCCAAGACCAGCGTGAAGTGGAAGAATCATACTACTGCGTTTGGTTTTGTGTGTGGAGAGCCGGGGCCCACTTTGTTAAAAGATGGCAACGCATCGGCAACCCTACGGGTGTTGCACATGACAGCGGTTTTCGGTTTACACTTTACATCATGTACCGCCAGCTCTTTTATCACCTTCTCGATAATTTTGATTCCATACATCGATATTTTCAGCCGATATGTTTGGTTCCGATATGTTGTTATATCGACAGAAAATACTCAATATCGAAAATGGTATCAAAAGCGATATTTTCCAAATTCGAATCCGGAACAGAGTCCATAGGTCTCAAATATTTAATACTTGACACACATTTGTATGCTGGAAAGGATATAACAATGGATGCGCCAAGCATTGCTTCGAATGCTAAGAAACAATGTAGAAAAAGACGTTAAGATTTTCATCGGTGTGGCAATCAGCCGTTTAGCTCAGTGGCTAGAGCGTCAGGCCGCGAATGCCGAAGACGTGGGTTCGATTCCCACAGCGGCGACAATCTTTTCATACTTTTTCTACATATTTTCACTTGACACACTTTTTTTAACACGAGGGTTTCTATATCCGATATAACGATATTTTCTCTTCGATATATCCAGTTCTATACTGATGTTTATCGATTTTATTATACATCGATATATCGATTCGATTATTAGCGATCCCTACTGCGAGCTGAAGTTGCCGCGGAACTGATTGCAGTGGCGCTACGACAAGGTGAGGAACCGCGTAATCGAGTGGGAGTTGGCCCTGAACCGGCTAAAGGAGGCAGCGGCGGCGCGCCACGTGGAGCTGTGCCACGTGCGCTCCGCCATTTGGGGCCTGTACCTCAAGATCTGCAAGCAGAAGGGCATGGCCGTGGACGTCAAGGAGGCGGACTTCGAGCAGCAGCTCGTGGTGATCATGAGAGCGCTGCTGGAGCTGAGGAAGATATACAGGATCGCCGAGCGACGTTCCAGGGAGAAGTAGACTGCAGTGACTGCGCTCTATACTATAGTGAAGTTTGGTTGCTTTAAGCCCGCTTCCTGTATTCATCGAACGGTTACATTGTCATTGTGAAGTCGTTACAACGAGTCGTAATTAAAGTTACGAAGTTATGTAACTAACGGCCGTTCGTTGAATACAGGGACCGGGCATTAGTCGGCTGGATTATAACGTGTGTTTTTTTTATTTAACTGTAGTCAGGGGCGTCCTCTATATCCTTAGTTTGATTCGGTATAATCCGAGACACTCTGCTTATGGATTTACTATAAAGTTTTTGATTTATTAAATTATACATGTTTATAATTATTGGCTATTTCCTTTCTTCCTTTTATAAAAAAAAAACATTCCCGCAATAAGAAATAAAACGCGTGTCGTGGAAAGCTTGAACATTCACGGATAAAATCGACTCGGAACAGCGATTTATGGGGCTCATACATTTTTGACCCGTTACAGGGAATTATAACTAAGAATCATCTCGATCACTCAAAAACAAGCGCACCATAATGGGTCCATTCTTTTAATAGCTGCGATGCCAATGATCAACACAGATGCACACACAGACAGACACGACAAACTTACCCCACTTTTTACGTCATCGGTTAAAAAAGCATTAACTTATCCCACATTCAAACTGTTGACGCAATGTGACAATTGATGTTCACTTTACTAATCACTAGGTACATAGTATAAAACAAAGTCGTCGCGCTGTCTGTCCCTATATACGTAGGGATCTTAGACCATTAAAACTATACAACAGATCTCGATGCGTTTTTTTTTACTGGATAGAGTCATTCAAGAGGAAGGTTTATATTATGTACTTATAATACATTAAACCCGTGAGGAGCCGGGGCGGGTCGCTAGTGGTAAATATATGACGTGCAATATATGTTTATCCTTACTAATATCATAAACGCGAAAGTTTGTATGTATGGATGGATGTTTGTTACTCTTTCATGCAAATACTACTGAATGGATTTTAATAAAACTTTACAATAATATAGCTTATACATCAGAATAAGACATAGGCTTATATCTGTCTTTCTGTCAGAATGTTACGCCGTCAGCCTATTCTACGCAGACGTAGTCGCAGGCAGCAGCTAGTAACCCATATTAATCGATGGATAGGTTCTCGAGGTGCAGTCTCGTTGACTAACGCGCTCACGACCTGTGATCTACTAGATTCCGATCTGTGCAAATGTGGGTGACGTGGATGTTCGTGGCAGTATGTGTGGGAGGCCTTTGTTCATAAGTGGACTAAATAAAACGGGCAGAAATAATGATGATAACTAATAAAGAAATGATAAATAAAAATATATTCCGTACGGTATCCGTAAAATTCAGTAAAATTAAATCGCATTTCGTAATTAAATGGCAAACTCGTAATTAAACCTCGATAAAGTTAGAGGGAGTAGATAACAACTTGAAAGTTCCAACCCCCAAGTTTATATATAAAGGCTCGTTAAAAGTTTTCATATAAGCATACGAGACTAATAGGCTCAAACTGTTCAACTGTCCAAGTTTTAAAAGAGTTAATTGCGGTTAATAATACGGCGTATGGCCTGACTTTTAATTATTAAGTATTGAGTTAGGTTTAAATATCCCTAATGCCTTAAATTCACCGGAGTATTGCTTTACGTGAGATAGCATTAATCATGCAAAATGGTGATCAAATCAAAAAGAGGTGTTTCCAAAACTACTCTCAACATTGAGACAATTACGAATTATACGCATTTCTTGGAGATACCGCTGAAGTTTGTCGCTTGTTGGGACTGGTATGTACATACAGAATTATTGGATTATAAATATTTTATTGCGGCAACACTGGGTTCCAGTATTTCTGTTGGTTGATGGTCGCGACACCTAAACGATATTAAAAGTCTTTCCTGCCGTTCAAAATCTGGGTGTAAATCCCAGAATTGATGAAAATCCGTAGATTAGAAATAGGAAATGTCTTGTTTTTCAAATATATAGATAGATAATAGATAATAGAAAATATAGTGATATTAACTTTCAGTGCATAACGAGAAATAAAAACCTGAAATACATATATTTGGATTAAAATTTTTTCGGCTGGACTGTTTATAAAAAACGTGCCATAAAAATAATTGACATGAACCATTAAATAATGTTTACCAATTTTACTTTACAACAATCAATTGAGTAAATTGTTATTGATTGTACATTATTTCAGGTGCAAAAACCCAAAGGGGGAACGGGAAACGGTCATCAATTACGTCTACCTGTGCTTGGTTCTGTTCGTCCTCGTCAACCAGCCGATGTCTTTGATAGTCCACCTGGGGACGGAGCGCGCGGACGTGATGGGCAGCCTCGGCGAAATAGCGGACGGCCTGCCCTTGGTGGCCTCTGCGGCGATCGTGGCTTATTTCGCGTCGCACAAGGGCGAGCTGTACGGACTGGTCGACCACATGAACGCCAACTTCACGTGCCACTCGGCGCGAGGCCTCACAAATATGACGATGTCACGAAGCTACGCGGCGGCCAGGGACTTCGCATATCTGTATACCGCGTGCACTTTGTTCAGCGTGACGATGTATGTTACTCTGCCAGTGGTCGTGCATCGTGAGTATATTTGAGCTCTGAAAATAAACTCAAATCTAATAAACTTATGACGACCCGATTGGCGTGGAGTAATGAACTTACACTTCTGCATCTCTAACCTAATTAATTTAATCTTTACGTATTGAGAAGAGAGGTATCTATAAAAATTTTCCTGGTTCTGAAAGCCAAGTCTGAACTGTTATCTTGTAGATTTGATCGATATCGATTATCTGAGCTTTCCATTTCAGTGTTCACGAATGAACCGCTGCAGCCTTGGATCTACACGGATGCCACATGGACGATAAGCGTTGTATTCGTGTTCCTGAAGCAGTGTTTGGCGCAGGGCTACGTAGCGTTAGCCTTAGGGCAGTTGGGTGGGTCAAACTATAAATTATTACAGAAGGACTGTTTGATTTGATACCTACGATTCTAACGAATCGTCTCCACGTGTTTTTCCGAACACTTTGTAACATTTTTCTGGTATACACTACACGGACGTATATTGGAAACTTCGATAGTGCTTCGGTAACAAAACCTTTTAAACAATTTGATTAAAATGTGCAGTACCACGTTATTACTACAAATCTTAAAACTATTCAGTAATGGTTTAAATGGCTGCCAACACATTTATAACACCACTATTATTTTTTAAATTAAATTAACAATTGCCAAGGTCTGGCCAATTACGGTAGTACTTTCCGTAAACACTAGTATCAGAGGTCAAAATTAATAGTAGAGAAAAAGGGCGTCTCCTTCAGTCAACAATAGGTAAGCTACTTATGGTTAGATTGCGCGTCCAAATACTCTGCGTCTTACAATAGGTAAGCTTCAGACTAGGTATGACAACCTTTTTTTTTTTTTTTTCGAACCCTGATAGAGCTATTGTCACAGGTGTTTTGTTCGCGTCAAACGCGATCCTACTCTGCGGCCAGCTTGATCTTCTGTGCTGCAGCATGAGGAACTCCCGCTACACGGCACTCCTGCGAAGTGGGGTCCAGCATGCCGCACTGGTAGAAGACCACACGGATTCAGTGTCGGAGGAACGCCATAGCTACTTGTACAACCGTCCCGAGGCTGCGGATTCCGTTTACCACTACGACAAGAAACTGGTACGCCTGTGGACTAACAGCAGTTCGCTTAGCAAACGAGTGGAATTTGCATTTTGCCGGCATCTTTCAGTCCGATTACAGCGTTTCTTTGGGTTAATGGTACAGGGCCACTTCTTACCAATTAAAAATGATGTGGTGTCGTGGGACACCAGGTAGGAACGAAGTTCCTTCGGCTAATGTAGAATCGACACAAATTGCAAAAAAAATCGTATTCAATTTTATGTAGGTTTTCTTGATTTTTCTCTTAAATTTTGCTGATTAGTTTTTATTTAAGTACAAGAAAGTATTTAGGAAATTCAGTATTTTAGGAAATAATAAATTACTTAAAATAAAAAAAACATCGCAAATCAAATTATCAACTAAAATAACAAAATATCTCTTTATTTTTGTTTGACAAGATAAAATTATGCGACTGTCGCGCCTGCGCACGTCTCATTTAACGGTTTAATTCCAGGGATTTTTTCTTACGGTTTTAATATCACATTTTTTTCAGTTCGGTCGCGCAGCAAAATTTCTATCCCCTCCAAGCCTGCCGTAAGGAACTTCGTTCCAAAAACATCAAAAACTTAGGAGTTTTAGCTAGTTTTCTTATATGAAATTGGCGAACGTTACTATACGTTGCACGAATGGGAAGGTCCGTCCGGGCAAGTACCACGACCGCACAGAACACTGGCGTAAAGTGGAAGCGTTATACTTTTGCGTTTCGTCTGGTGAATGAGGTAACCGGGGCCCACTTTATTGAAAGTTGTAAACGCAAATGGGTAGCGATTATCACTTCAACATCAGGTGAACCGCCAAACGGCAAGTGGCCCTTCTCACATAAAAAACCGATTGAAATACATGTAAATAAAAATTCAGATTTTACAAACATAAATTCAAATCCAAGACAAGTTTCTGTGGGGCATACAGTATATACAAATAGTTTTCCCGTGTGGGCGCCTAGTATAATACCTTGGCAACTGCGCTGTGGAGTCATCAAAAATTTAATTATCCATGTAATGTCAGGAGACCGAGAAAGGTTTGGACGGACTGTAAGAAGTTGGCTCATAGAAGTAACTTGAAGGGATATGTTGCGGCTTACTCCCCTAGTGTGGGAGTAGGGTAGACAAAAGAGAAAGCGATGTAATCATAATCATTTATTCCTCACCATAATCAACAAGAGTGGCTATGAACTTAAGATAAATTATCAAATACGATACAAAAATACATGAAAACAGAAATACAAGAATAGATTGACACTTGGACTAGGACGAATCCTGTGTCTCAAGTAATCAACCCTCCACCCCGTAACAGAATCTTTTAAAAAGTGTACCATAGTTACATAATTACATCAAAACACAATATAAAACTAATTTGTAATTACAAAGAATATACAAGTATGTAGAGGAATATGTGTATGTCAATGTAAGTATAGTATAGGTAATACGTGTTTGTACTGGATTAGTAGTAGTAGTGTGTGTGTGTGTGTGTGTGTGAGCGCGTGCGTGCATGCGTGCGTGCGTGTAATGTCCTTTGATGATCTTCTTTTGTAACAGTTTCTTCCACTTATTCTGCAGACAAACTTAGTCGGACATAAAAAGATCTACGGTAAGTGATTACGAACGGTATGTTTCAAAAGTTTCTACAAATTTCATTCTCGCACTGATTTTTTTTCGTGCTTTAGTGTAAATCTTATGTAAAATATATGTGCATTACAATTTTAACCAAATTTTGTTCGAATTGTTTTGGGTAGTTGTAGTAAAGTTAAATGAAACATTATATATTCGACAATTCTCATTTTAATAACCCAAATGACAAGCAACAGGCTAGTAAGTCACTGCAACAGTGACTTACTAGTGTGAATTGAACGTAATATAAATATTTTTTTTACTTTATTCGTAACTAGCTTTTCGCCCGTATGTACTACATTTTATATCGTGGTTAAAAAGTAGCCTATAGCCATTCTCAATTAATTTGCTAACAGTGCAAGAATTTTTCAATTCAGATTTTAAAAAACACTGTTTTGGCTTCTAGTGCTTTGATAAATGCCCCCAATAATGTTTTTTCTCAAATGTCTTCCATGTACAGACAACGATCAGTTACATTTTTGTTATAATGTATAGCTAATCGATTAATTGAGGTAAAAACTTCATAGATATCTACGATCCAATTTATGACGCTTTCACATGTGAGGCGTTGCGCGAATGTGCCCGTGTGAGTCAAGTAATCAACCGATATAAGGAGAAATTCGAGAAGTTTCTGTCGCCTCTGCTAGTGCTAAGGGTGGCCCAGGTCACGCTGTATCTCTGCACGTTGCTGTACGCCGCTACTGAGGTGTGTTACAAACATTGCCAGTAATATTAGGTTTATTTAATAAAACAATCTCTTATATCCTCCATTGGTAAGAGCTTTACAAACGCAATAAATAGATTTAGTCCGCCTCTGTGCAGTTTGTTCAAAAAGTATAAATAAATAAATACTTCCAGCCTACATGAAACTGTGGTAGGTATTCCCGCAGCTGCTCTGCAGTATTTAGTCTGCGTGATAATAAGTACATTTGATTAGCTGGGAATCGCTGTGTTTAATTAAATAATTTTCTCTGAACATTCGAATGTTCGACAAAACTTTATATACTTACTTTAAGCAGAAATGTATCAAGATGAGTGGGAGGAACTTTCTAATTAGGCGGGTAATTAGTAAATTACATGTATAAATTGCAGCACAAAATGTTGGCCATTGACCATGTCGTCGTTTTCGATATATGTGTAAAATTAATTTATTTCAGATTTTATTCAGATACATATTTTCAGAAATTCAACATGATCACTGTTGAATACTTGGCGGCGGTTGCGCTGGACATATTCGTGTACTGTTACTTTGGCAATCAAATAATTTTGCAGGTATGTAATGTAACATAGACAACTTACCTTTTTTAATTCATGTTTGCACCGTATCTAAATTAAAGTAAATGAAACTTTCAGCTTTCAAGACCATACAACGTATAATATTCAGTAAATTTTGTTCCTCCTGGTATATAGCAATTGGGTTTTATTTTTTTTATATTAAAAAGCCTTGGCGTCTTTGGCAATCATATAATATTTGACGTTATCGTACCCCATCTTAAATTTTACATCATATAATCTGTCGAAGCACCATGACATAAACGTACGGTGTATTCGATTTAGACATATACTCTATGCCCCACACAGTGCTGCTACTGTCAAACTATTCAAAGATGGTTCAATTCAACGTAATGTCATCGCTCAATCGGTTTAAACGTTTACTCTATGCCCCACACAACGTTACTGTCAAATTGTTTTCAAAGTGTTGCCACCCCTAAAGGCGGATCGCGTGTCCACGGCTGCGTACCAGAGCCCGTGGCATACAATGGGCCCTCGCCCCAGGAAGCTACTCCTCAACATCCTCTTGGCCAATCGGCGGCCGTTCGTGGTGCGAGCGGGCAGATTCCTGCCCATGGACCTCCACACCTTCGTAATGGTAAAACTTGTCCACAACCTACTGTGGTAGTGATATTATAAAGCCACTCAATTGTCTTCGCAGTTGCACGAATGGGCAGGTCCGAGGCAGTAACACGATGGCGTGAAGTGTATTTTGAAGGGCTTTAAGCGTTTCGTCTCGTGTGCTAGGCAATGATATTATATACAAATAGGAGGTAGATATTTACGAGAATTGATCTAATTAGATTTTAACTCTATAGACTGCTATCTTGTTCTATATCATCTGCCACATCAACATGTCTTGTAACGTAAAGCGGAACAATGTTTAAACGCCGCGCAGCATGAACATGCGTCTTCTGTATTAAAACAGCATTGGTATTTGATAACCGGGCTCAAGGTGGAAGGCATTTCCATTTCCTTCAACCCGTCATACGTAATGTCCACGGGCGCCGGTAAATACCTACTTAACATCAGGCGTTTTTTTAGCTCGCTTGCCAACTTTTCTCTCATAGCCTCTCATAGGCAAGAGCAATAAACATGAGAATACAAATTCCTTTTGCCGTCCTTTATTGAATGACTAAAGTCAAATTGAGAGGAGAAAACCATCGGTTTCAGATCATGATGCATTCTCCGTTCGCTACTACAGTCTCATAAAATTTTTTTCAGATAATCAGGACTTCGTTCTCCTATTACACTCTGCTGGTAAACGTTAATGAAAAATGAATGTTAATTCACTGAATTCTCTGCGACAAACTTCACTAAAACATAATTTTTTTTAAATTGTACGAAATTTTCCCTGCATTATGTTATTGTTAAATGTATTATTTGTATCAGACAAACTATTAAATATAATTATTTGTTTATTTGTCACCATTCCATAGAATGAAGTATGTTTTTGTGATGGCTCATCAACTTTACAACATGTTCAATAATTCTTTAATGATGGTTAAAATGATGATTTAAAAAAAAAACAAATTACCTTGCACTTACTCAAACGTGGTGGGGATGGGATGGGATCCATCTTCAAGCCGAAAGAGGGCCACGCATGTGCACATGCGCGTCCCCTCGGACGGTTCGATTGCAATGACACACACTCTTTTATTCGGAAAGTATTTTATTTACGAAATCAATATACAATCATCTTGTTCATACGACACGATAGACCAACGATAGAATTAGTCCAGCCGGGACTCAGTCTAGTCCTATCCAACCTTCGAAAACGCAAGTATGGTAACCCTATCGGTGGAGAAACTCGATTTGTTACGGCCCGGTCGATGCGACTGACGCCACTATTACTAAAACCCTATTCAATTCATATTGATATTGATAAAAAATAATTACATTAACATTATTAAAAATCCCGTGAGATATTTGTTCACGTAATAATAAAACGGCTGAGCTCACGTCCAATACGGTGTATGCACCTACCAGTTTAGGACCTATCCGAGGTCCTTCTACAGGATGAGTGTGATGAGCCCAGTGCGAGACGCGCCCAGATGGACCTAAACCGGTCGGTGCATACACCGATTGGACGTCACATCAGCAGTTTTATTATTTCGTGAATAACCCCATACTCAATCTCACCATCATAATTGTTTTCCCCCAATCACATAATAATCATATTCTTCGTTATTACTCGTGTACACTTACTTATTAGATTAGAAATAAACTAGACATCGCTCACAATGATAATACAATACGGTTACGGCCATAGTTTTGTTAGTATAACATCACGCGCTCTTTCCGAGAACAGATCGAGTCAGCCACATACGACCGGTGACCGTGTTCAAGCGATTGTAAATTATAAATGTACGCATCGCGGGCCGCATAAGACATGAAATAGCACAAAAAGCACACTACGCTGTCCCAAAACGCTCGCCCGAATTGGAAGCGGGACGGTTTCGGGGATTCCCCTACCTCGAAAACTCAATTATCAGGACCTATAGTTTTATTTTTAAAGTTAGTTACTCTTACTAATAATTATTATTACCGAGTGCTTCACCGATCACTTCCGATATATACGCTCATTATCCAACTGCATGCCGTTCGGTATCCATACTATCCGGTGAAAGGGGGACCACTAAATACTAGTGTCACCACACTTTTCGGATAAATGCGGAATCTATCGAGACCGGACGGTACGCTTACATAAAACACAACGGATACCGGGGTACAACACAAGCGAACGGTGAGGACAAACATACGAACATACAAACTCACATGACGCGACATTCAACATTATTCAACATAGCCACAGCAAATGCCCGGAGACGATAATAGAAAATTTAAATTGTTACAAGTAACACTGGAAATGTTACCGAAGTACGAACAGGTCGAAAACGAAGGAGGGTTATTAAAATTAATAATTTTTATTATGAATACGATTGGAAGTAAAAAGGGCAGACGTAACAATGTGCTTCACAAGGAACATACCACTACGTTGTCTCTTATCCTCTTACATATGAAATTAAAAGACGCCTTTAGAAACGACTTAAGGTCAGTGAAGTGTTTATAAAAAAAGACCTCGCGGAGATAAAATGATTACATTACAAGTAATATTAACGATGTATAAAAAACGACATGTCCATGTTACATATTCTTAACTGTAATTGCTATTGTCACAAATTGTATGGCGTTTAAAAGCTAAATACACATTTGTTCACCTTTTATAATAATTTATTACAAGCAATAGTGACATCTCAATTAGTGCGCTTTTCCGGCTGGCGACATTACGATCACCGCTGAGGGCGTCAGAGAGCGGTGGACACAACGCCGTGACACAACGGACACAAAGACTCGATCGATAATCTCATACAATTAAAATCATACAAAAGTGAATGTAGACAGACGTCCATATTAAAACATACAGTAGTAGTGTGGGCAAGCTCTATTGGCGATCTGCGGAATCTGTGGGAGCACAAGCGTTTATATAGCTGATCCGACATTAACGAGACGCGAGCGAGGTACCAAACACGCGATACCGTCTGCCAAAGCAAAAGGCAGCGATCTGGCAAATGGGCGACGTTGTTGCCAAGCGAACTCTGTCGAAGCGTCGTGGTTGACAACGGTTGCCAGTGGGATCCCGTTCGCCGCCAATAGAGCCCGCCCGACGGAGAACCGTGCCTATTGCAAGGAGTGGAGCAGCGTGGAGGTCCAAATGCGAGTCGGCGGTGGCGGCGCAACGATGCGCTCGCTTTAGCTGCGGACGGACACACACCGCATTAGTAGCCGGTTCACCGGCGGACGTATGCTAACGATGCACGCGCGCCAACGTACGTATGCTTGCTGTGTACGCTGACGTACGCTGGCGTACGCGCGGACATGTGCATGCGGACGTGTGCTGATGCGGTAGTGACAGACGATCGAACCTGACGCGACCTCGGTTCGCTCCGGACTATATTAATTGATCGATTTACGTTTTATTAGTGATCGTGATGTGGTAGCGATGGTCGCCACAACTAACGTGGTGTTAGGTTTTAATTTTTTTTTTATAGCGGAGTCACGAAAACCGTGTTCCATCGCCACTAAATTTAATTGAACAATTAAAAATTACAGTGCAACGCAGAGAGCACCGCGTTTGATCGTCTGCTACTACTTTTAAGATACGTGCAAACATGTGCAGGAAGGCGTACACTGTTGTACGTACGCATGGGCACAAATCCATACATGCGAACGCATACGAACTCACGCACACACAGGTAATACAGGTAAAAACAATTGCATGTGTGCGTGCACAGGTACACTGGTAATACTTCCGTACGGCCGATTTCGATTCGTGATACATTACCATTATTGAGCTACAAAATGGTATTGTAAGTTTTTAAAATAGAAATAGTACAATTTTCTTATTTACATACATTTTAATATAGCATTCGATCAATTCGTTACTAGTTATTTCAGATTCAATGAACTTAATCAAAATCGTTCGTAGAAAATGTATAACAAAAAAAAAACAATTAGTTTCTATTTAAACAAAACACACAGGAAATTGGAAACATTAATGAACAACTAGATAATTATAGCTTTTGAACTTATTTCACTTAATCCGTACATCAATTAATCCGGTTCGAAGGACCATTTTTTAAACTACGTTAGCGTTACTATTATGGATTTGTGACGATACTTCTCTTTCATTGTACGCGTGTCCACTCGTTTATAACGGTAAAAAAATTATTGGTTACATTTACAGAGTCTGCAAGCCTTCATTAATAAGTCACAAGCGTAGCACTTGTTTGCACAATCTTTGGCTGCGTTCATATATCTCTGAAGGGACAAAATATCGAGTCAGTCGATTGCCTTGTTTACGCTACATTCATATTACATACAGGAATAATTTGTATTGTATGTGTATTTTAAAATATAAGATTTTGTATTTTGAATATGTTTTTAGGTGACACAACTTTTATAATTTGGCCATCAATTGATACAGAATGTATGATCCAACTGAGTTACTTTTAATACATTCTTTACACGAATTATTTATTGGGTGGAGTGCGAGAGCCTTGCAAAATGGTATTGATGAAGAAATCTGATTTGTCAGTTAAAAAAAAGACAAAATAAGAATATGGTGAATACCTCTGTCTATTTCAAAAGTATTTATGGCGTTTCAAGTGTTTAACATAAACGCAATATCAGACACCTCTAGTGTATAAATAAAGGCGGTGTCAATAAGGCTATCGGCGGGAACACGACCAATGTCAGAGTGTATCAATATGCAACTACAAAGGCCACAACCGGAGGCGACTTTAATCGAGAACAATTTCACACGAAATAAACACATTGTAGAATCAAAGTTCAGAGCAAAATACGAGTGCTCCCAGTGAATGGTTAAAATACCCTGATGTAAAGATCGAAGTTTTTCTAAGTTATACTTTTTTTGGCGCGTTTGGGAAAGATGATGACGAGTGGATTTTTACGATGGGCGGCACTTAAGAGCGACAACTTCATGGTGTTGCCACGGCAACAATGCCAAGTTATTCAATTAAACCGCATTTAATGTCTTTTTTCACAAATAGTATTATGGCAAACGGGAAAAGGATTTAGTTAATTCTTATTTTTTAGTTACGCCAAAGCAGTATGACTCCTCACGTGCGTACAAGTACACACAAACGTTCGTTTTGTTGGGCGGTCGTTTGTTTTGTTTGATGTTGTTGTTGTTGTTGTTGTTGTTTTGTCGTTGTCGATGTCGTGTACTCACTTCTTCTTGTTCTTGGGCTGGGCGCGGGGCGGGGTGTTGGGCCGGCCCATGTTCAGGCCCGAGTACAGCTTGCGCTTGTCCGCCGGCTTCAGGATTTGGAACGAGCACATGAGGGTCTCGTCGACGGACATCAGGGCGCCTGTGGATAGCGAGCGTGTGAGATAATCGGAGGTCCAGGGTCAAAATCTATAATAGGCGGCCACGCGACAGTCCTCGCTGTTGCACTAGTTGGCAGGTCCGTCCGGGAAAGTAGTACGACCTCACAGAAGACAGGCGTGAGTGGAAGCGTTATAATTCTGCGTTTCGTCTGGTGTGCGCCTAGGAATAACGAGCTTGCAAGATAATGTAAGTCAAAATCTATAATAGGCGGCCACGTGACAGTCCTCGCTGTTGCACTAGTTGGCAGGTCCGTCCGGGAAAGTAGTACGACCTCACAGAAGACAGGCGTGAGTGGAAGCGTTTGAATTCTGCGTTTCGTCTGGTGTGCGCCTAGGAATAACGAGCTTGCAAGATAATGTAAGTCAAAATCTATAATAGGCGGCCACGTGACAGTCCTCGCTGTTGCACTAGTTGGCAGGTCCGTCCGGGAAAGTAGTACGACCTCACAGAAGACAGGCGTGAGTGGAAGCGTTATAATTCTGCGTTTCGTCTGGTGTGCGCCTAGGAATAACGAGCTTGCAAGATAATGTAAGTCAAAATCTATAATAGGCGGCCACGTGACAGTCCTCGCTGTTGCACTAGTTGGCAGGTCCGTCCGGGACAGTAGTACGACCTCACACAGAAGACAGGCGTGAGTGGAAGCGTTATAATTCTGCGTTTCGTCTGGTGTGCGCCTAGGAATAACGAGCTTGCAAGATAATGTAAGTCAAAATCTATAATAGGCGGCCACGTGACAGTCCTCGCTGTTGCACTAGTTGGCAGGTCCGTCCGGGAAAGTAGTACGACCTCACAGAAGACAGGCGTGAGTGGAAGCGTTATAATTCTGCGTTTCGTCTGGTGTGCGCCTAGGAATAACGAGCTTGCAAGATAATGTAAGTCAAAATCTATAATAGGCGGCCACGTGACAGTCCTCGCTGTTGCACTAGTTGGCAGGTCCGTCCGGGAAAGTAGTACGACCTCACAGAAGACAGGCGTGAGTGGAAGCGTTATAATTCTGCGTTTCGTCTGGTGTGCGCCTAGGAATAACGAGCTTGCAAGATAATGTAAGTCAAAATCTATAATAGGCGGCCACGTGACAGTCCTCGCTTTTGCACTAGTTGGCAGGTCCGTCCGGGAAAGTAGTACGACCTCACAGAAGACAGGCGTGAGTGGAAGCGTTATAATTCTGCGTTTCGTCTGGTGTGCGCCTAGAAATAACGAGCTTGCAAGATAATGTAAGTCAAAATCTATAATAGGCGGCCACGTGACAGTCCTCGCTGTTGCACTAGTTGGCAGGTCCGTCCGGGAAAGTAGTACGACCTCACAGAAGACAGGCGTGAGTGGAAGCGTTATAATTCTGCGTTTCGTCTGGTGTGCGCCTAGGAATAACGAGCTTGCAAGATAATGTAAGTCAAAATCTATAATAGGCGGCCACGGGACAGTCCTCGCTGTTGCACTAGTTGGCAGGTCCGTCAGGATAAGTAGCGCGATCTCACAAAAGACCGGCGTGAAGCGTTACACTTTCAGCGTTTCGTCTAATGAGTGACGTATAGTCTGGGCCCACTTTAGTAAACGGTGCCAACGCATCTGCAATCCTACGGGTGTCGCAAATGTCAATGGCGGCGCAATGCACTCTTGTTGTCTTTTTTTATTACATAAGTATAAAGATTATAATTTAACATTGTATATAAAATAGTGTCTAATGAATGCATATAAATTGTATACTAGTGTGAACTATATGAGAAACGAAAACGGGTGTTTGGTAGGGTTTTAAGGAACATTGAGGGCAAATGAGTGGAGATGAGAAAAATGGAGGAGGAAGAAAAAAAGAGAAAGAAAGAACGAAAGAGAGGTAGGAGAGGTTGGGGTTTGGTAGTATTACCGGCGTTGTCGAACTCGCCGCAGTAGTTGGGCGCGGAGAAGAGAGTCACCAGTTGCCGCTTGGCGAAGAACTCGTACCCGTCCTCAACAACTTGATGCGCGCGGCAGATCAGGTCAAACTCGTGCTTCGACAGGAACTTGCCCACCACCTGAACAACATTGGAGGACGTTAATTAAGCATATGATGACTCCGTGGCGCAGTTGCCAAGGTATTGGCTTCGGCGTTGGCGGTCGTGGGCTCGATCCCAACACGGGACAACTATTTGTGTGACCCACAGATAGTTTTTTCGCATCTGGATGTTTTTCCACGTGAAATTTGTTTGTAAAACGTCCTTACAACACAGGATCTAAATAAGTTGGCAACTAAGTGATTGAGGATTTCATATTTATAGATGTTTCTCTCTCCCATTTCTATGATATCCGTAAATGTTATGATATTCTTCTTGTATAAATGTTAGCTGTCATCCTTACCTAGCTTTCATTACTTTCTTAACTTCATTGCATAGATATTTCCTTAGTTCTCTTTTACCTCAATACTAAAACGGAGTGCAAAAACCAACATTATCGATATAGTTTGCTTTATTTTTTATTTGAATCGAAGTTTGGCAACACCCACCATTTTTTCGATACCTTACCTTCGTGTTAAAACTTTCAATGATGATGACGTAATATCTCATTTACCTCAGTTTTTGGCCGAAAAGGATCAGACTTTCTACGAGCGTGGAATCTTCACTTTTTGCAGAGGTTATCGAGCAAAATTGAAAACACATTATAGATTAAACCTCATTCCAAGTTAAAAAAAATCTTTTATTTCACTTAACATATCCGCAATTACTTATAGATGGCGGCAACCCAATATTTTGGCTAAAAATATTCACAACATAAAATTCTAAAGAACAGGCGATTATATAGTTTTAGTTATAGGTCTTCACGGCATGAGTCAAAGGCTTTGCTTACCTAACGGTATTTTTACTTATCATCGGTGGCTAATGTGCCTACTATTGTCAACTTGGCTAGCTGTTGTATATGTATTGTCGAAATTCCCCAACTTTATTGATTTAATAAATCAAATATTAAAACAGGACATTACAGTATTTTTTGTAAAGTTAACTGTGTGTTAACTTTCAGTCCCGATTTTCCAATTCAGTTGTTACAAATTTCTACGGGCAAATAAGCGGATTGAATGTTGTGTAAAATTTGTATAAAATTTTTAAATTGAACATTAAATAGCCGAAATTATTTAATCTATAATAGATACTTAACTTCTAACAATGGAAAAGTACTTCGTAACTATAATTATTATTTTGATCACAAAAAATGGAAGAGAACCCCGTTGTATTTACTTAGAAGAATTTGTTGTGTTGCGAGTGATTATATATTTTTTTTCCATAAAAACCAACCAACAAAATCACGTTTAGCGCATAAACAACGATCACGCTTCGCGCGTTATCGAAACGGCGACAAACAAGTGTAATGCACCCACTGACGTCGAGATAACGTTTCTTTGACTTTCAACTAAGGCGGCTGTCATGACATTTCCGCAAATCTATTTGTTTAGCCGTTGTTAAAACAACAATAAAAATAACATAATATATGCGACCTAATGTTATTGTTACGCAAGTCAATGAAAATCCTTTTTAGTACTTTTTGGGCATTTAATCAACGAGGAATGTAAATTAGGATTACTATCGTATGAACGTAGGAGCGCTTAGCACTATTGTTTGAAAGCAACAGGCGATTCAACGAGTCAACATAAAAATGGGCCGCAGATACGCAATCGGCCAGACTGCGCGGGGGAATTAATGGGTTAGTTACATAGATACCCGTTGTTTGTTCTGTATAGTGCCAGTACTCGAGGGTGTCGTTTCTAATGTATATGTGGCCGCACTACAATTTAGCAAATTGGATCGTGTTCAAACTGTGTGCTGACTCACTATACACGTTACTAGTTGTAATTGATTACTGTAATAATATGATTAAGATGGACCTTACATTTTGAACATAGCATACGGTTACGGACCATCGATATAACAGTTAGGTACTCTTTGATTTCAAAAGGTTCCGAGACTCCGCCTTTGGCACCCAACATTTTGAATCAAAGATATGAAGATAAAATGTAGCATACAAGAAAACTTCCTTGTGATGATACAAGAATATAATTGAATGAAATTGACGAAAATTGCAGAAAAAAAGTTACAGCATGTGCACGTCCCACTGCTGGGCAAAGCTCTCCGTACAGAGAGTGTTAGGGCATAGTCCACCACGCGACCTCACTGTGGATAAGCGGACTTCACCATATCTTCGAATTTCCTTTGTTTATATTATCTGGCAGCCTGTGGGGGAGACCTATGTGTCAGCAGTGGACTACTAACAGGCTTAAATGATGATGATATTAAAATATGCAGAAAAAAGTCAGAAAAGCTTATCGCCTCTGTAGGCATCGAGCCCACGTCTTTGGTATTCACGCCCCGACGCATTAGCCACTAAGCTAAACGGCTGATTGCCCAACCGGCGAAAATCTCAACGTCTTGTTCATACAAGTAGTCATAACTAGCGCACCGAAATTATGAGACACTCAAATTGCACAAACGATTTGAGTAATTAGATTGCAGTTCGATAGACTGCTATCTCTTTACGTATCGGACGTTCTATATCATCTGTCACATTCACTTGATATGTCCCATAGTAATTTTTAAAGCCGCGCATTATGGACACTCGTCATCTATATTATTAAACACTAGCGACCCCGCTCCGGCTTCGCACGGGTGCAATGCTAAATGTTTTTTTTTCGACGTCGCATTAGAAACCTCGAAAATTATCAGCGTTCATCTACTACATTATGCATGAATCCTTACTAATATTATAAAGGCGAAAGTTTGTACGTATGTATGGATGTTTGTTACTCTTTCACGCAAATACAACTGAATGGATTTTAATGAAACTTTACAATAATCTAGCTTATAAATCAGAATAAGACATAGGCTATAATTTATATTTTAAGTATATCTGTCTTTCTGTCGGAATGTCACGCCTTCAGCCTATTCTACGCAGACGTAGTCGCGGGCAGCATCTAGTTATACAGATAAATCTTCCTCTTGAATCACTGTATCTATTAAAGGAAAGCGCACAGAGATCCGTTGGGTAGTTTTAAAGATCTAAGCACACATAGGGACAGACAGACAGCGGGACGGACTATACTATGTAGCGATCATTCGCTGCACTCACCTCCGTGCCGAAGGTGAAGCTGACGCCGCGGTCGTTCTCGCCCCAGCCGGCGACGTCCTTGTCGGGGTCGGACCAGAGCAGGTCGCAGAGCAGACCCTGGTCCGGCACGTCCGTGGGCCGCATGATCCGCCTGATCTGCTCCATCGCCTGCAGGTCAGGCGAGAGCCCGCCGTGGCAGCAGAATATCTTCTCGTCCACTGCAACACACGATTGCCGAATTGTTATTCGCAAATTTTATTTGTTGATGACTCCGTGGCGCAGTTGCCAAGGTATCGGCTTCAGCGCGGGGGTCGTGGGCTCGATTCCCACACGGGACAACTATTTGCGTGACCAACAGATAGTTGTTTCGTATCTGGCTGTTTTGTCCACGTGAAATTTATGTTTGCAAAACGTCCTTATAACACAGGATAATGTTATCCTAAAGTAAGGACAATGTTATTAAAGAATAAAAAAAAATATAACAGTGTTGGGGGCACGCAGCGGTCTTTTGCTTGTTGCACAAATGGGCAGGCTCGCCCGGGGAAGTACCACAAAGTCATTGAAGACCGGCGTGTAGTGGAAGATTGCGTTTCGTCCGTTGAGACCGGGTCCCAATTTAATAAAAGGTAAAGTATCCGCAACCCTACGGGTTTTGCAGACGTCTAAGGGCAGCGGTTATCGCTTAACATCAAGTGAACTGCTAGCTCTTCTACAGAAAAAACAAGTTTATCTTATTTAGTTGATGTTTATTCTTCAACAGATGTATACAATAATTGTACCGATGAGATTTGTATAAGCAGTGCAATTGTGGTATGTATGACACAATACATAAATCTTTTACCATGAACACGGTGTATACTTTATAATTATTAGGGTGTACGTTTTATTTTCTAGATTGGATAATTTTTATGAACAATTTAGAAAATCCTGTTAGGGTAGACAGTGAGAGTAAAAGCTGTTCAAGTTTCATCGAGGCTGTTTGCCTCACAATCACGAATAATTAAAAAAAAAAAATTGCATAAAGAGTACCCTCGAAATATTAATGCGCTCCATGAATGAACGGAAAAATTTTTCAGGTCCGCCAGTTGTCTCACTAGGCAAGCTCTCTAAGATCCAAAAATTTTTCAATTGATTGAACAATCGACAACACTAATATCAAAGGCCTCCTAGAAGCCAACAAAGTGAAAATAAAAAAAATATACACATAAAGAAACTGTTGCGTGAAAACTATCAGCTTGTTAACCACTTTCTAGATATTTAAGGCGCTCTATGCAGTAAAAATAGGTTTTTCAAAAGATTTTTTAGCAAAATCTACACATTTTATAGCAGCAAAAAAAAAAAATGTTAATCTTGATCGTACATTCTAAGGGAATATTGTTTCCAAAACATATTATCGATATATTTTCTCGATAGAAAAAAATCATGAAACTACCTCTAAAAGAGAAATTCAAAACCAAAAATGAACGTAATACATCAACAAATCTTAATGAAATTAATATCAGTGGTGTAGAATATATTAATAAAAAGGATTGTTGTTTTAATTTTTTGATTGATGTAAGATATCTCTAAACATTAATTTAATTCATTAAAATTAATTCGAACGCGATGGGCAAAACACCGCGCCGCCGCGGCGTTGTTTCGGCTCTCTTCCAACTCCACACGTTGAACAGAGAGCGCTGAGGCGCCTTGCTAGATGGACCTATGCCGCTCGTCTTCCGCTCACCGTTACGAAATATGTTCCGTATTTATTTATTATTGAGGGTTATAATTTTATTTGATCTTTCGAAAACACGAAACTAAAAAATATATATTCACATATTTCGTATTTTTAATTATTTGTATGAATTAACAACTAAAGCGTAATTTTTTCAATATCTTATCTTGTCATTGATAAGTTTATCAGTCCTATACAAACAGTGTAAAGGCAGAGATGCCAACTTAGGAATTTTCTTCCGAAATTTAGGAATAAAAAATGTGGAATGGAAGTTTATTAGGAGGTAAATTTTTATGGGAATATTTTTAAGGAGTTAAATTTTATTCACATTTTCGAAAAAAACAACACAAAATAACTTATTTAAAAAAAATTCAGTGCTGCTTTGGATGACGTCAGGCCAAGGCCGTTGTGTCTGGTATGAATATTTTATGTATTCTAATAAATTTTTTTAATATTGTTTTTATTTTATTCTTAACATATTCATTTCAAATGAATTATGTTATATTTGATGTTCTTGACCATGGTTTATTTTATCAGATAATTATTTTGCCTTTTTTTTATAATATAAAAAAATTCTGATTTTAAATTTAGAAATTTTTGTTTGAATTTAATAAATTTTAGTCGGTTTTCGAATTGTTTTAGGAGTATTATTTTTGAACAGTTGGTAACACTGTGTAAAGGACCATCATTCTATAGGGATTGGGTTCAAATCCCTACATTTTTCTTTGTTATATTTTTTGGTGATTTTCTTTTTGTAGGTATTTTTTTTAATTTACCATTTAATTTTTGTTGATTTTTTTATTTTTATAAATAATAACAACGAAATTTTATTGTATTTATTGAACGTAGAACGCAACATTTGGAGAACAATCTATCAGATAATAAACCAAGTTTTCATTAATCATTTCACAAATCATCAAACATAAGTTTTCACTTTTTAAAAAAGTCTTATATTGTATGTTGTTTTTAATTTGTTTTATTAAAATATTTAATTTTTCACCCTAAAACGAAACCTATTCTTTTACGAACACGAAAAATAATTGTTTTATAATTTTTGTATTTTCCACATTTTATCAAATAACAACAAAATAATTAATTGATTAACAAATTAAAATTGGAAAAAGATGTATCAACCATGACGCTCGGACCAATAGGCTACACGATGTCTGCGGAAGGGAACAATATTTCGATTCTAGTTATAATTGTTGTCGTTTATCGATATAAGGAATTTTATCGATAATTTTTTAAATATAATTTCATTGAAGAATTAATATAACGTAGTAAGTCTTTCACATTTAAAGGATAAATTAAAGATATAAAGTTTAAGAAAATATGTAACAAAAAAGTATTCGTAATTTCTGCCGAGGAGACTATGAAATTGCTTAAAATTTTTATGAGAAAATTTTACTTTAAATCAAAATAAATAATTATTCGTTTATTTATTGTTTTGTTGTAAGAAATGTCATTTGCCTTTATTAATTTATTTGACCTAACATGTATTTTTAATCAATTTTAATCCGTTTCCTGATAATTTAAAATAATTAATAGGTAGATTTTCTAAAATTGTTGATTGCTTTCTCAAACTTTATATTTGTTTGTTTATTACTATTCCTATAATAATATAAGAGTAAAATATAATCATGGTCTATAAAAGATATTATAGGGACCATCTGTGTACATTTTCAACAGTCTTCCATGATACTATCGATAGTGTCCTACGGCCCATCACTACACACGAGGTAATGAATGGTCTAGCGGCGCGTCGACGAAACTCGCGCGCTGCGCGCCGCTAAGCGGCGTTACCCCTCCTCCGCTTCCTCATACTTCACCACCGAAATAGTTAAAAATTAACTGCATACAGCGCCTTAAGTGATGCAAACATTTCATTTAAATTTCAAACTAAAATTATTGCCCCTGCAACTATTTACGTAGCGTTTTCTTTTCTTTCTCAATTTACAAATTAAATAGTCCCAAATGCATTACATACATCTTCTTCCTCGTCGTTCCCTCACTAATGAGGATCGTGACCATATTTAATTTCTCGCCATTACATATATACAGTAGACTTATAGAACTATTTCGTATAGATGAATCAAGATAACAAGCTAAGGCTCAGATAATGTTGTTACGCTCGATCCACCCTAACGTTATAAAGACTGTGCCGGCTAATTCTGTACACAGCGCCTAATGGCTATTAATTAAGCGTATGAACTCGATTGTAGTGTAGCAGAGAAGCGGTACAAATTTGATGTATAAAATTTCTATATATTTTTCCTCAAAAATGTTTTTAGAGGTACGCCATAATTTCTTAATTATTGCACAGAAAATTGTACAAAGGCGAGCTCATCATTCTTAATCAAATTTAATGATTTGGACACCATTTTAAAGCTTATATTTGCCGCTTTTGACGAAATATAGTCAAGTGGAATAAATTTAATGTTATAAAAGAAACTTTAGTTTAAAAATTTCATATAAAGAGCGTATGACAATGCCACATATAGACGCAAGAGAGTAATCTTAATAATAACGTTGCAGACCGTACCTAAGTTTGTTCCTTAAGTAGCTTGAAGCGCGATTCATCAGCAAGGTTCAAGTATTGTTTGGGAAACAGAGACAGCGGCCCCATTGTGCGCTTGTGCAACGGAAGCACAATGGGTCAGTTCAAAACAAAGGAGAAAACTATTGTTCCTGACATTAAACATACGAATAGGCTGAACGACAAACCGACGCGGACGTTTTGAATTTCGTAATTAAAAATTCGTCACAACCATAGCTTTTAACATCTATTTATGTACAAAATTTGTATGGCCCTACCGGACTAAAATTAATAATTCAAAGTAATAAGTTTTCCTTATTATAGTGTATTTTTACACTCGCTTTTTTATCTCAGAATTACCCAGTGGATTGGGAGGTACCAGAGAACGCCTCAGCCATTACGTACATCTCCCTATACACAAAATGTGTGTAAAAGTAGTTGTTTTTCGAAAGTAAAAGCCTACACATATCCCACAGCTGGGCAAAGGCCTCCTCTTTTTAGAGGGTATCAGGGCATAGCCCTCCACGCGGCCCCACTGCGGATTGGCGAACTTCACATATCTTCGAAATATTATTTTTGTTATTTCGAAAATATGCAGGTTTCCTCACGATGTATTCCTTCATCGTTGAGCACGTGATAAAGTCAACAGTTAAAATTGGTGGAAACAATTTCGTTGGTGCTGCTGGCACCGGGGATCGAACTCAGGTTGCTCGAGTATATTGAATTAAAGGCGAGCGCCCGGACACTGAGCTATCACGGCTCTCATATATTTCGAAATAAAAATAAAAAGTAATATTACGAAAATTACACATTTATAGGCTGTTATAACTGCCTATTGTCGACCCTCCTCGGGTACAGAGAAGAATACTCGTATCGAAAAACGGCCCATGTAACGCAACAACGAGAGAATAACAATCAACAAACATAGACTATGGTAAAATGTGTGTGCATTTTAATTTTTTTTTTTA